GCACCTCCTGGGACTGGCAGGGCTGGCAGGCAGCTCCAGGGTCTCCGCTCTAAGTGGCTCCTCTTGCCTGTCCTTCGTGCCTGCCAGGTCCATCCAAACCACATGGACTTGTGGCCACCACTCCAGATGCGTCCAGCAGGGGGTGGGTTTCACCTCACTGTGGCCGGGAAAAGGACATTTTCCCACACAGAAGGCCCTTTCACTTGGCAGACCTTGTTCTTAGATCCTTGGTCACCAAGCATCCCCCTTACTAGCCTAGAAGTGATTACTAGCCCACTACTAGTGATTTAGGGTTTAAATGAGGAAGAATCCCTGTTAACTGGGCCCCAACATTTAACAACACTCAATATATCCGTCATTAACACTCTAGTGTAAATGAGCCAACCTCTACCCCCCCCCCCCAGCTAGGTGGATGTTGCCTAAGGAGACCTCATTAGTCTGTTTTTGCAGGAGGAGAGATGTGGAAAAAGAAGCAGAGCCAGGGATACCCAAAGAAGGGAAATAGGGCAAAGGTGGGGGGCAGAAAGGAGGGGATTTGTGGGCAAGGAACCAGAGGAAGGGAAGTGGGACAAACATGGTTAAGGAGAAGGCCTCTTATCTGTCCATTTCTTCACAGTCAACAAAGCACAGTCACAGGAAAGTCCCCAAGTCTTGTATCCCTCCCTCCCCCGGTGTCCAGATGGGGGCACTGGGCCCAGAGAGAAGGGACTCACTGTAGATCATGCAGACATCCAGGTGTCCTAACTCCAAATACAGGTGCCCTGGCTGCCACCCTGTCGTCCTCCCCTGACCCAAGGTGCCGGTCTCTTCCCCTGAGGATTCCTGAGGAGGGCAGGAAAGCCCTCTCTCGGAGCCCTAATTTATGATTTTCCGACAGCTTCCTTCCTCCCATCACTCCTTCTAGCTCCAGTCCCAGCTTCATGAGGAAGGAATGAACTGGGTGAGAAGGGCAGCTCCATGGAGCATAATTAACTTGGCTGGGCAGCTGCAGGCTCTCCGGGTCCCCCAGCATCCCCGCCCTGGCCCAGCGAGGGGCCGCAGGGCCAGGCCTCCAGATCAAAGGCACAGAAAGCGGGCATTGTTCCCTAACCTGGAAGGCCGGCCCACTGGCCCTGCCCTTTGTTTGGGCAGAGGCTTCGATGGCGCTGGCGCTGACTGGGCCCCTGGGGGCTGCTGCCACAGGCTCCGGTACCCCCAGGCCTCTTGGGCTGCTCCCTCCCCTGTAGAATGTGCACGACATGGGTACAGATCAACTGGGGCACCTGGACTCACACAAGCTGGTGTGCAAGCAGGGCTAAATTTATGCCCCCACCCCCACCCCGAGCTGGGGAGACTGTCCTTGGGACATAGGCAGAGGGAAGAGGTCCTTAGCACAGGCTCCAGGGGCAGTTCACAGGGAAGGGAGGCTGCGACCCAGGTTTGTTTGCTGTTAGAAGAACAGCATTTCCTGTTTGGATTAGGCCGGCTGGATGTGTCAGTGAATACACACCAGAAGGGCTGTGTTTCCCAGACCCCATGGCCTGCTCCCGGTGGTGTGTGTGTGTGTGTGTGTGTGTGTGTGTGTGTGTGTGTGTGTGTGTGTGTATGCATGTGCTCCCTCTCACGGGAGTCTAAATCTGAGCTGAGTTCTCTTTTTGCCCAAAGAAACACCCTTGCAGGGTCAGAGGGCAGCAGTGTGGCCTAATGGGTAAGTGCAGAGGCCGGCACCCATCACTCACCAGCCGTGGGCCCCGCACCTGGGGATAATATGGAGGCCTCCCGGGTGTGGGAGAAGAGGGCAGGCGACAATGCAAGCAAAATGCTTAGCACAGCGCCTGGCACACGGTCAGCGCTCAGACCGGACCGGAAGCTGCTGTTGTTACTGGCGGTTGTGGTTCCGTCTTGGCAGCTGAGAAGATCAGCCCCCCAGGGAAGAGGCCCCACCCACAGGGGCCTTGAGCCAGCGGGCCCCTCTCCTCCCCATCTCAGCAAACACTGAAACCTCAAATGACCAAACCCAGGTCCCTGCAGCATTTCCTGCCCTTCCTGCTCAGTGGGGAAAGAGGACCAGAAAATAAGCTGATATCCACCAGGAGAGTGCGTCCTCAAAAAGGGGCTTCATACTGTGCCCCAGGACCACCGCGCAGAGACCCAAAGCTTTAAAAACTGCCTTGTTTTTTGTTTGTTTGATTGAAGTATAGTTGATTTACAATGTTGTGTTAGTTTCTGGTGTACAGGCAAGTGATTCAGTTATATATATATATTCAGATTATTTTCCATTATAGCTTATTACAAGATATTGAATATAGTTCCCTATGCTATACAGTAGGACCTTGTTGTTTATCTATCTTATATAAAGTAGTGTGTATCTGTTAATCCCAAACTCCTAATTTATCCCTCCCCCGCTTTCCCCTTTGGTAACCATAGATTTGTTTTCTATGTCTGTGAGTCTGTTTCTGTTTTGTAAATAAGTTCATTTGTACCATTTTTTTAGAATCTACAGGTAAGTGATATCATATGGTATTTGCCTTTCTCTCTCTTACTTCTCTTAGTATGATAATCTCTAGGTCCATCCATGTTTCTGTAAATGGCAATATTTCATTCTTTTTTATGGTTGAGTAATATTCCATGGTGTATATGTGCCACATCTTCTTTATCCATTCATCTGTCGATGGACACTTAGGTTGCTTCCATGTCTTAAAACTGCCTTGTTTTTTCAGGCAAGGAAATGAGGCTCCGAGAGGGGAGGTGACTTGTCCCGGGTCACACAGTGTCCAGTGGTTGCTCTGGAATTGACACCTAGGCCTATGGGGTGCTGAGCCTATGTGGTAACCACCAGGCTGCACTGGCATGGGGGTCTAGCTGTAGTTTTAAATAAATACCCTGGACCAAGGGACCCCAGCCTCATTAAGGATAGGACCCTTTCTGATGTCCAAATGTTGATAACAGCTTTTCCTGGGAGCATCCATTGCTGGAGAAATTTGCAGTGGCCTGGAGCGCCCACGAGTTTGGTGATAAAGGAACATGTATGCCATTCATCACAGGAGCATCTCAGACACGTTGCAAAAAGATGTGGTAGTGCCTCCTCATTCTGTGGCCCTCCTGAGCCTTAGGACAGAAGCCACTGCCCAGCACTTCCCCTTCCTAAAGAGCTGCATACCCTCCAAAGTGTCCTTTGGGGTGTTGGGTTTTGATCGTGGCCACCTGACCAGGCCTCAGATGGGCCTGGGACCATCTCATGAGATGGCCCCTTGAGAGTGACAAGTTATCTAGAGGATTAAGTAACTGATCTAGTTGTGTCAAAAATAAGAGCTAACCAAAGAGGTGCAAAGCTGCTTTTCTTGGGGGTCAGACAGATGGCATATAGAGGTGCCCAAAAATCACAGATGGAAGGGAGGGAGGCAGCTCCCCTAGGGGGGCAAAGTTGGCACCATGATGATGTGATGATGTTGTTGGAGGATGTGAGGAGCCCTTGGGGGAACCACGTGAAGCAGGGGACTGTGGGGGTCAAGGCATATCTCATTCCTGCACACACCCCATAAGGAACGTGCAACTGTTCTCCTTACAAAGAGAAACTGAGGCTCAGAGAGGGGCAGGCCTTGCCCAAGCTAACACGGGCAGAGGGGGCAGAGGGAGGGTTTGAACCCAGCTCTCACTGCCTGCCCCCTCGGGGGACAGGAGTCGGCTCTCTCCACTGGCACACCCTCCCCCCTCTGACTCAGCCCAGGGCCCTGTGCTGCTCTGGTGAGTCTAGGAGAGGTAGTCCCAGGAATCAGAGGTCAGGGCCAGCATGCCCTTCTTGCTGGAGTGTTTTTAGCAGAGATCCTAGATCTGGACAAGCCACAGCAGGATCCCGTAGGACAGGTCACCGGTGCACTGCCGGGGTGGTAGGGGCTTCACCAGCCTGGGACGGCCTGCTGCCCATCAGTTCTGGCAGAAGGGGGTGGGGGGGAGGTCAGAGACTGTCCTGGAGTTTGGGGAGGGTCTGGGTGCCCTCTGATGAGAACATAAACATACACTCCTGTCACAGACACATACATCACACACATGCATACAGGCATCACACATTTCACATGCCCCCATCACACCTGCACACATATGTATCACACACACATACCATACTTTCATACTCTTTGGTGGAATTCACATGTACCCCAGATGAAGTAACTCCATGTACCCCAGATGAAGTAACTCCACTGTAAGCCAGTCCTTTCCTTGTCACTGATGGGGAAACCCAGGCGCAGAGCAACTGATGTCTGCACTCTTCCTTAATTGTGCTAAAGAGCTGACACCCCCTCTGAAGTCAGGAGACCTGGATTTGAATCCTAGCTCTTCCAACCACTGATGGGGTGCTTTAGGCAGATGACATCTCCTCTCTGCCTCAGTTTCTCCATCTGTAAAATGGTGATAAAAGTGGACACTGACTTTATGGGGTCAGCCCAGGTCTTCTCCCAGGGGGACTACGAGTGCCTGGGCCTCCTTTTTTCTCTCTGTAAAATGGGGATAATTGTGCCCACTTCACCCAGAGTGGTTTGAAGATTAAACCGAGAGAGGATGTGAAGCGGAGGTGAGGTGCCCTGCACACAGTGGCGTTCACTGCTCAGGAAGCCTTTGTTGCATGGATGGACCGTCCCTCGTGGCTCGGGAACTGGAACCCTCAAAAATGTCGAGAGGGGATGAGGCCCCCGCATCATTAACCCAGGCTTGTTGGGTTTGGGTCCTGGCTGCGTCGGAGACCATGGCCCGGCTTCAGCTCCCCACTTTGCAACACGTGGCAGGGCACCTCGAAACTGGCACTGCGCCCCCAAAAGGGCCACGCGGCGCAGGGCGCCAGGCTCAGGTGGGCACCTGGTGGCCTTCCTGGCGGGGGCGCCCGACCCCCGGGGCTTCTTCCGGGTTGGCAGCGGCGGCGCAAGGGGCGGGGGGCCGCGCGGAGGGGCCGGGCCGCCCCGCGCCCGCCTCCCGCCCGCCCTCCCGCCGCTGCGCTGGGAACCGGGATCCGCGCGTCCTGGGCGGCTGGCTGCGCGGGTGGGGACGCCAGGCTGGAGGCGACGGCGAGGGTCCGCGCGCGGAGGGCGCCGGGCGCAACATGGGCGGCCCGCGGGCCTGGGCGCTGCTTTGCTTCGGGCTCCTGCTCCCGGGAGGCAGCGCCGCGTGGAGCGTTGGGGGAGCCCCGTTCTCTGCACGCAGGTAAGGGCTGCCCCTACCCCCCGCACCACCTCTGTGCCCTGCCAGCCCGGGGTTGGGGACAGGGACTCCAGGCACCGCCCCCCCACAAACTCCGTGCAAGCCCGGGATTGGGAAAGGGACCCGGTTCCCCACCTCATTGCCAGCCCGGGTTGGGGCAGGAACCCTGGGCCTCCCCGCTATCTGGCAGAAGCTCCAGGCCCTGCGGCGGTCACCTACTTCACGTATACAGAGCCGGCAGTCCCCCGACAGCCTTCTCCACCCCCCACCACTTCACCTCCAGAGCCCCAGGGGGTGGTTTCCCCCGAGGGAGGAAACCACCAAGACTTCCCCCACCCTCTGCCTAGGGCCCCCTTCCTGCACATAGGAGAAGCCCAGGACACCCTCTAGCTGCCACTTGGGGGACCCTCCTCGCTTTACTCTGCTCCTGGCTTTTTTTTAGTATCCCAGCTATTTATTTCTCTCAAAGGAAGAAGACTGGGGTGGAGTTTCACAGACCGAGGGTCAGTGTCGGCTCCCAGGGACCTGGCATTTTGGACTGCGCTGGGAGCAAGTGCTCTGTCTTCCTGCTGCTCTCTCAGGAGCAGGGAGCATTCTATCTGGTGGTGTTTATGGAGCATCTCCCAATACCAGTGAGGGGGCCCTTTATGTGCAGTGTTCAAGGATTGAATGAGGTAGGGAACACTTGTCCCCATTTAGCAGATGAGCAAACTGAGGCCCCAGAGAATTAACATAATCTTCTAGGCTCATTGACCATTAATAGAAGAACTGGGATTCAAATCTGTGTCTTTCTGGCCTTGGTGACACTGTTTGGACCTACCCAGGCCCCTGTCCTGGCTGTAGCCCCTGCCCCTGCCCCTGCTGGGGTCCTGTTTCGAGGGCCAGCCGCCGCTGTTGTCTGAGGCAGACAATACGGAGTAGCCAGGCCTCTCCAGGCCTTTTCATCCCATTCAAAGGCCTGCCCGGCCCCCACCCCCTACAGGCTCAATTCTTTAATTCTTTTCAGAAATTCCCTTTTCCCAGTGGTCAGGGGCCAGCGTGCCCCCGCTGGGCTAGCAAGAGCAGGTGACATGGGCAGGGCTGGAGGGCAGAGGTGGCCGTGGCATCAGAGGCCAGAGGAGCAGTTGTTTTGAGACAGGGGCTGACGGCTGGCAGATGTCACAGCCACCACCATGCATGCTGACCTGGGCTGGCATTTCACCTGTACCTATACCCTCCAGAATCTTCCCAACTGCCATGGGAGGCACACATTTTTATGGTCCTCATTTCATAGAGGAGGAAGGTGAGGCTCAGAGAGGGGACATGAGCTGCCTAGGGCAAGGATGTGAACCCCCAGGGTCCCCAGTGTCAAGCTCAGGATGATGGTTGAGAAGGCATAAGGCTTGGACTGCCCTTTAGCCAGTCCACTGCCTCCCGGCCTGGGCTTCTTGGCCCCCCAGGACATGCTATGTGGGAGCAGGATGGTGTCTGTGGGCAGGTATCTGGTGGTCACTGGGGACTGTCACCCCATCTGGTCATAGAAGGCTCACAGTGGCCTGAGCATCACAAAAGCTCTGTAGGCAATGCTGTTGCTCCCATTTTACAGATAAGAAAACCAAGGCCAAAAAAAAAAGAAAGCCAAGGCTTAGAGAGGAAAAGACACCTCAATCTAAGTCAGTCAGTTTCCAGATCCAGTGTACTTTTCACTCCAGCAGCTCTCCTGGAGGAGGGCGAGCTTTTGTCAGCTTGGGGAGCTGAGAAAGGTTTGCAGGTCATGGTTAGGAATTAGGGGCTCTGGCCTCAGATAGAGCAGCGTTTTATTCCTGGCTCTGTCACCCACTCAATGTGTGACCTCAGGCAGGTCTCTTCAGGGCCCCAGGTCTCAGTTCCCCTCTTCCCTCCCCTCATCCCCTGCACAGAGGCCTGTTCTGAGGACAGTCCCCCACGGGAGGAACCAGTGCAGGGCCTGATGTACAGTGGTTCCTGCTATGACCAACATTAAGTGAGGGGAGGGACCCCTAGCCGGAGGAATCTGGTTCTTGGCTGCGGGGACCTCCCCTTGTGGCCCTGTCCCAGCATCATTGGAGACGGATGGGGATGTTGCTCCCCGTCAGCCCTCCCTCCACCCCTATCCCGGTGCCCCAGGCACCCCTTGGCAGCCGAGAGACCAGAGGGAGAAAAGAGGCTTTGTGCCTGGGGAGGGGGAGGCCCGGGAAGGCATCCAAGGGGCCGCCCCCAGGCCCAAGAATGTGGCAAGACTTTGAGACCCCCGGAACCAGGGTGTCCAGGGCTGTGCAGAGCTGCCTTGTCTCGCCCTTGCCCCTGTCTGCCCCCCCAGTCCCTGCTGGGGGTGCTTCCTGCCCCTCTGAGGGCCCTTCCAGCCTTTAATGACCCATCTCAGTGTCTCAACGCTGTGGCTCTAGAGTTGAAGCCGTCACTGGTGTCCTGGTCCAGGCTTCTTTCCCTGCAGTACTGGCTTCCTTTGGGCAAATCTAAGAATCAAGGAGAGTGGAGAATTTTCTTCCCCACCCCCTCCGTTGGGAGCTCAGATCCCAGCGCTATACCCACAGGGGTGACCTGGGTAGGTGACTTCTCTTGGGGCCTCAGTTTCCACTTGGTAAAATGCAGAGCCTGACAATCCCTATCCCAAAGTCAAGGGGAGGACCTTGTGCGGAAGGTACAGTGCTGGTGTCCCTCAGGGAAGCCCCTGGACCACAGCTGCCTGGTGTGGGCCCTATGTCATGGTCCAGGAACAAGAGCTACCAAAAGCCGTCAGCGCTGCGCTAAGGGCTTTACGTGAAACCTCCCTTACAGGAGGAGTGTCTGCTGTCCCCATTTGCAGATGGACAAAATGAGGCCCCGAGCGGGTCAGGGCCTTGTCCAAGGTCACCAACTTAGGAAGCAGCAGAGCCAGTGTGTGGGGTTCGCCTCTGGTGTGGGGTTCTGGCTCTGTTCACCCCACCCCCACCCTGTGGGTCTTCTTTCTTTCCTCTCCTTTTCATAGCGGCCCTTGGCCCCCAGCCCGCTTGGCTGCCTCCTGCAATTAGCCCCTATCACTGTTCCGGATCACAGCCCTGGGCCCCGTGGAGACAAAGTCCCCTGAGCTCCTCGTGGCAGGGGGTGGAGGGCAGATGGGGGGGGGCCCTCGTGGGGGCGGCCAGTGCCAGGCCGAGCTGGTCTGGCCTGTTTTCTCTCCTCCCGGCAGCCTCTGGAGGCCCAGGAGGTGCTGAGTGGGCAGAAGTGGCAGGCCCAGGAGAGAAGTGCTGCCTCCTCCCAGCCCCTGCCATTGTCCCATCCCACAGGAGGTAACCCAGCGTCATCGGGTTCCTGGGCGGCTTATCACCAACCACGTCCCAGAAAAGAAGCTCCCAAGGGCAGCAGGATGGGGGCGGGGCCTCCAAGGACTGCGCCCATCTCTGGGAACCTGGGTCCCGGCTCCTCTGCCCAGGGCCACTGTCTGTTCTCAGTCATTCAGCAAACCTCCCTGAGCGCCCCCGGGCTGAGCCCCATACTGGCTTGGTCCCCGCCAGCGCCCTCCCCCAGCGCCATCGGGGGAAGAAAAAGCTCAGGGCTGCTGTGAGTGGCTGAGGGGGGCCCCTGCAGGTGCCCAACTGTGCCCAGAGCCTCAGGACTGAGACCCAGAGGATGAATAGGAGTTTGCTGGAGCAGGGAGAGGGCTTTCCAGGCAGAGGAAATCTATGCAAAGATCTGAGCTGGGGAGAAGATGCGCATGGGAGGGAGGGCAGGAAGGAGGGAGAGCAGCAGCGCAAGTGTGCAGGACCCAGCGGTCAGGGCGACGGGCAGCGTGGTGGGCTGTGGACTTCAGGCCAGCAGTGCCCCTGGAAAGTGGACGGAGGGGTGGGCGGGTGGTGGAGCCAGGCTATGATCCTGCAGAGGAGCTCGGGCTTATCCTGGCAGCAGTGGGGCTGGGTCTTCAAGGCCAGGGAGGGGCAGCGCATAATTATTGGTGACCCCCCAGGTGGAGGGCACGAGGGGCTGACCTTGAACCCCACCTGGCCAGAGTGTCCCCTCCTGTCTAAAATGTCTGCTAGCCGGCCATCAGCTCCGTGTCTCCTAAGCAGGGGATTCAAGCAAACTCCAGCTGGTGGGAAATAAGCAGGGAACCAGGCAGCAACTCACATGGGGGAGATTTTAAGTAAGAAAGAAGAAAAAAACTGTTTTCTCTGGCTCCTCCGTGGTCAAAAGAATTGCTAGGGCAATTGTGGGCAGTCACAGGCCCGCCTCCCCCAGTCCAGTCCAGGGGCTGGGCATGGGGTGTGTGTGCACACTTGTGTGTGAGGGTGCACGGCTCTGTGTCTGCAGGTTTTGGCCCGAGTGCAAGTTGGACAGTCATTTCTGTGGTTATGTGTCCTGCTAGATTGACCTTGGTCTGATTGCGTGCTGTAGTGTGTGTGTGCATGCACACACTTATGTAGGACACGTGTGTCTGGAAGTTGTATATGTGAGCGTGTCTGTGTGCTTTCATGTCTGCATGTGTGTGTGCATATTGATGTGTATGCATGTGTGTGAGTCTGTACACTGGCATGGAGTCTTCAGTCCGTGCCAGGGCCCTCCTGTGTCCCATGCTCTGGCCATCCTCTGCCCAGGTTGCTCCCTCCCTCCCTCCTTCCTCCACTCACAGAGCCCCTGGGCTAGCCTGGGGGACATCACACAGGCTCAGGGAGCCCCTGAGTCCCCCTGAACTTGTACCCCACGTTTTATGCATTTTGGGGGGGAGGAGCGACAACTCACATCAGTCTCCAAAGGGGCTTATGTCCCCCCAAACAAGATCCCAGTGGGTTTTAAACCACAGCTCTGGGGACCCACAGGCTCTAACAGGTGGGGGACCTTTTTTTTTTTTTAACATCTTTATTGGAGTATAATTGCTTTACAGTGGTGTGTTAGTTTCTGCTTTATAACAAAGTGAATCAGCTATATATATACATATATCCCCATATCTCCTCCGTCTTGCGTGTCTCCCTCCCACCCTCCCTATCCCACCCCTCTAGGTGGTCACAAAGCACGGAGCTGATCTCCCTGTGCTATGCGGCTGCTTCCCACTAGCTATCTATTTTACATTTGGTAGTGTATATATGGCCATGCCAACTCTCTCACTTCGTCCCAGCTTACCTTTCCCACTCCCCGTGTCCTCAAGTCCATTCTCTACGTCTGTGTCTTTATTCCTGTCCTGCCCCTAGGTTCTTCAGAACCATTTTTTTGTTTTTTAAATATGGAATGCTTCACGAATTTGCGTGTCATCCTTGCGCAGGGGCCATGTTAATCTTCTCTGTATCGTTCCAATTTTAGTATATGTGCTGCCGAAGCGAGCACTGGGGGGCCTTTTTGAAATGCATCTTTTTAAGCTTATAAAATCCCCACTTGCTCATTAGGAGAAACATTTCCAGCCTGTGGTTAAGAGCACAAGCCCTGGGGTTAGAAGAAGCTGAGTTCCAACCGTGACTGTGTCACTCATCGTGGGTGCCTGGGGCACATCCCAGACCCCAGAGCCTCAGTCTTTCCATCTGTAAAGTGGCACTTATAATTAGGTGTGTGGAAGGCCCTGGGCACAGCTCCTGGCATGGTAAACGGAGGCTGCTGTGAGCACAGGGGACTGAGTGGATGGAACTCATCTAGGCATGTGATTTTTCCTCACTTAATACACACATAGGGAATTCCCTGGCGTCCAGCGGTTAGGACTCCGTGCTTTCACTGCCAAGGGCCGGGGTTCAATCCCTGGTTGGGGAACTAAGGTCCCACAAGCTGCATAGCGTGGCCAAATAAAATTTTAAAAAAATACACACATAGCTTTATATGTACATACATTTACAGTCTTTTGGCTTTCTCTGCTTTTCATGTATTAATAGAAATGTCATTCTCTTGGTCCACACATACTTTTTCCCCCTTAAGCAGGCACATGGAGACCTCGGACTCTGTCACAGCACCTGGTTCTCTGTGTCTAGGGGTCCCACTTACGCTGTTCCAGTTTTGCGCCATTCCTGACAGTGCTGTAACAAGCGCCTGGCACCTCTGCTGTGGGTTCCCTGGCCGAGGGCTCTTTTGAGCTCCTGCCCCATCACTGGGCTGATCAGAGCCACCCTTCTCTGGCTTTCCCACCTCCATGCAGTCGGCCAGGGTGTTTCCTCCTCCTGGACTGATTTCAGCGTGACACAGAATGGTGAAGGGACTTCTGCAGAGTCCCATAGTGAGTTTGTCAACTGGTCCCAGCCAAAGACTTTCTCCTTCAGGTGGGCTGGGTGGGGGTGGGCCCGCAGCTGCAGGGCTGGGTTTCGGAGGTGGCAGGCACCTCTGTGATGGCTGGAACATTCCAGGTGCTCACCGGCCCTCAGCTCTGCACGGGGTCACGGGCCTGCGTTCTTTTGCTGGTGCTGGGAAAGGAGTGACCGTTTCAGGTGACCCTTCTCAGCTTGAGCCCCCACCCCACCAGACTTTCCTTTGTGGCCTGGAGCCCAGGGTCAGCAGGTTCCCAGGCTGAGGCTTTCACAGAGCCACAGACTGTGGCTCAGGAGGTGGGGAGGAGACGGGAGCTGACGGGGCCTCTGGGATGGAGGTAGGGGCCAGGCTGAGCCGTCCACATTCCTGGGTTCAAATCCAGATCCGCCATGCACCAGCTCTTTAACATGAACAATTGTCTTCCCCTCCCTGAGCCTCAGTTTACCCCTCTGTTAAATGGGGGGGGTTTTCCTGGTTCCCTGTGGGAAGATGATGTAAATACCTTTAGCATACAGTAGGTGCTCAGTATGTGCAGTGCAAGGTGATTATTTGTTGGCATCTGAAAAAGTCAGTCCTCCATGCTTGGGATATTGATTGCGCATCCCAGCTGTCACACAGAGGGGACCTGAGGATAAGTGAGACAGAGCCTCTTTCTCACATGCCTCAGGGAGGGAGAGGGCAGACATGAATCACCAGCTTAATTCAGCATGGCAGGGATACAGAGTGCTTAGGATCCCCGGCAGGGAACCATCGCTTCTACTCAGATGGGGGTGGAGGTGGAAGATCACAAGGGAAGAGGCAACAGCACAGCGGGGCTTTGAAGGTAGGAGGTGTCAGGAAGAGAAATGGGGGAAGGGTGCTGCAGGCATCAGGTCCAGCATGAGCAAAGGCCTGGACGTGAGGGATCCACAGCAGGAGTGGGAGCAGGAGACTTGGAGGGCTGAGGGTAGGGCTAGGCAAGGGACACCACCAGGTTTCCATTGTCTGACCCTCCCTCCGGGGAGAGAGTGAGGGGAAAGACACTCACTCACTGCCCTTGTCCAGGTGGGAGGTGGGAGGCAGTGGTGGCCTGGAGGGGTCAGGGTTGGAAAGGAGATGCTGAGGAGGAAGAGCCCCAGTCAAGATGCCCTGCTCCCATCTGGGCCCCTGCAGCTCATTCCCCAAGACCTCTGAGAGCACCCAGCACATCTGTCCCCTCCAGGGTTCTGGAATTCACTGCTCAGCCACTTCAGCTCAGAGACTCCCACCAGGGCCCAAAGAACTTGGAGAGCTTAGGGGTCTCCCTGCCTGGAGACTCGGGGCTCCCAGAGAGAACATGGGCTGCGCGTGGCACCTGAGCTTCCTCTCTGCTGGTCTGTTTCAGGAACTGGTGCTCATACGTGGTGACCCGCACCATCTCGTGCCACGTGCAGAATGGCACCTACCTGCAGCGCGTGCTGCAGAATTGCCCCTGGCCCATGAGCTGCCCTGGGAACAGGTGAGTGAGACCGTGTGGAGTAGGAGCTGCTGGCGTTCCCACGGTGGGCACGGCCTGGTGGAAGAGCTGGGGCTGGGGCTGGGACCCCGTGCAGGAGATGCCTGGGACCCCAAGGGTGGGCGGACAAAGGGACCATTGTCCATTCCCAGCGCCTCCCCTTGGCTCTTGGGCCTTCCTGGGGGAGGGATTCCAGCATTCACCTGCACGCCTTAGCTCAGTGAGCGTTCACCGCTGGGGACAGTCTAGCCCAGCTCGCAGGGGCTTCCTGTCCAGTTGGTTTCTAGATCCCCCCGGCTGGGGGCTGGGGAGGGAATGGAAGGGCTGAGGCCCAGAATGCATGAGGAAAGAGGCTCCAGAGGGACCTGGAGGTGGCAGAGGACCCTGGAGGCTCTGGGCTTGTCCCCATGGATGGTGGGAGGGGTGGCGGAAGGCCCATCTGAACCGGGCCACCTGGGCGCTCTTTCAGCTACAGAACCGTGGTGAGACCCACATACAAGGTGATGTACAAGACGGTGACAGCGCGCGAGTGGAAGTGCTGCCCTGGGCGCTCGGGGTCGAGCTGCGAGGAAGGTAGGACTGCCCCAGGCGCAGACCAGGTGCCTCCCCTCAGGTGTGTGGGAGGGAGCTGTAAACCGTAGCTGAGTTGGTAGGTGCTCAAGGGCGCAGCGCCACACTTACCGGGGCTGCTGCACAGAGCTGCCGGCCAGACGCAGCTGGGCCACAGTGGGTATCTGCTCTCCCATGGGTGTTGACCACCTGCCTCTTGGGACACTGTCAGGACCCCTGGAGGAATTTCATACATGCTTGGTAGCTCACGTCTTAGGTCACACATCCCAAGCCTTTCCTCCAAACTTGGGGACATTTCCATGGGAGGTGGTAATGGTGCAGGGAAGCAAAGCACCATTTAGTGCAGTGGGTCAGCAAGGCCGGGATGGCTACACCCAGTCTGCAGGTGAGGAGAACAAGGCTGTGTGATGGGCACACAAGGGCGTGTGATGGGCACACAGCTCCTAAGTGACAGGATTCAAACCCAGGTCTGCCTGGCTTCCCCCAGGCCCTCAGGGATGGGAGGACTCAGCTGGGCACCCTGTGTGCAGAGTGTGTCCCAGGCAGAGGCCCCCCTCTCTCCGCCCACCTCCTCTGCATGCAGCTTGGTGGTTTGGGGCCAAGCGCCCAGCAGGGGCGCAGAGGAGGCAGCCCGCCCCTCCCCTGGCCACACAGCTACTGGCAGTGCTGTCTCCTCGAGGGCACCTACCTCTGCTGAGGGGTCCAGGCTGCATCCACCCTCACTGCCTGGCTGAACCCAGTGTGCTCCGAAGAATGACCAGAAAGAGGATGGACTGGCCTAGAGCCAGCCTGAGAACCAGGCCCATAGGCCCCTCAATAGAAAGAGGCATTCGGGGCCCCCAAGTAGCACATTAACGTGACTGTCGGTCGAAAGATGCATTCTGATTCCAGAAACACCGATGTGTGAAACACAGCCTCCGAATCAAGGGAAGGTGATGCTTATAGCGCCATTCATAGGTGTTTCTTGAGAGATTTACACACTTCACCTCCCTGGGACCCCACAGCAGCCCCAGTTCACAGATGGGGCAACGCAGGCCCAGAGAGGTGAAGTCACACGGGGTGGGGGCAGACTCCCCATGGAGTGGGGCAGGGAGGGAGCCTGGTGGTTTCCATGTGGGGTGGGAGAGCCCCCAGCACAGCGGGGGAGGAGCAGGGCGGCCAGAGGGAGGGGGGAGCTGCTCGAGGTCCAGCAGGGGTCCGGTACAGAGAGGCAGCCCTTTTTACGGTTGGAGAAACTGAGGCTCAGAGAGGTGAGGGGGTTGACCTGCGGTCACGCAGTATGTGAGAGCTGGGACTGGGACCAGCCTGACCAAGCATCCATGTGTCAGTGCCTCCAGGCCTTGGGACTGGATGGCAGGGAAGGAGACTGGCTGAGACTCTCACCAAGGCAGATGTGGGAGGCTGGGAGGGGCAGACAGGGAGGGAAGGAAGGGGGCCAGGAACAGCGCCCTCCCCTGCATGCTGGGAGGAGAGGGGCAGGCAGAAGGGCCCCAGGGGCAGGAGGGGAGCCAGCCAGGAGGGACTGTTGCCAAGGAGGCCACAGAGGAGCTGGTGGTAAGGAGGGGGCGAGTCCCCAGGGTACGGGGGTCCCCTGGGTGCAGAGCACCTGCCCATACATAGGCCACTCTGTCCCTGGCTCCCCTCCCAAGGGCAAACCTTCCCAGGTCTATGGGGCCATCGTGGAGCAGGTGGCGGCAGCGACCATGCCCTTGAGTGCAGCAGCTGTAGGCTGTGCATCCACGACCAAGCCAAGGGCTGTGGCTCTGCCGCGGGGGTGAGGTGGGAGTGCGAGACAAGGACTGGGGCCGGGCCAACCCTGATGTCTCCCTTGGCAGGGCCTTGGGGTTCCAGCCTGGGGACGGGACAGCTCTGCCACACACCAGCTGTGTGGCCTTGGGCCGGGTACTCCCCGTGCACCGTGCGAGTAGTTGTGCAGGGGTATCGGGCCGGGGGGCGGGGAGGCTGCAGTTCAGGCGGCACTTGTCTCGTGCCCTCTCAGAGGGAGGGGCACCTTCTCTAAAGGGCACCAAGCTGCCTTGTGCTCTTGCAACACCTGGGGCTCTCCTGCCCTGGGCCTCAGTGTCCTCACCTGTGAAATGGGCAGGATCATACAGTCGGCCTCCCAGGGATGTTGCAAGGGTGAAATGAAGCAGGTGGCGCCACAGCCCATGGAGGGCAGCACGTGGCGTGATGCCCAGTGGGACAGGAAAGGAAGGGCCTCTCCACACCCATGAGGTTGGAGCCAAGTAAAGGGATGCCAAGGCCTGGATATTCTAGAAAACTGCTTTGCTGGGGCCCTGGGAATGGGGACGGGGAAGCATGAGGACATTGCTGACCCACGCCGGGCCCTGCCCTTCCTATGACAGCCAGCTTCAGGCTGGGCTCCCCCAGCTGTTTTCCCTGCTGGTGACTGCCCTCGCAGTCTGTCTGGTGTTGTGACATGACCTGAGGTCAAAGAGCTCCGTCACTAGGGGCAACAGGGCCCAGAGTGAGCTGAAGAGGGAAGGGAAACACCTATCATTCCAGAATCCAGCCTTGGATCAGCTGTGCTCTGCTGTGTGACCTGGGGCAAGTCACTTCACCTCTCTGAACCCCGTCTCTATCTGAAAGTCACCTCAGATGGAGAAGTGCCTGCCTCACACCTTATTATGAGGACCAGAGACATGCCTCCAACATAGCTACTGAATAAATGTCTTCCTTTCCCCTTTGGCCCCCTGTGCTGGGGAGTCTGCCCTGCCTCCCAGCTCTGAGACCCCATTTCTCAGTCAGCTGCTCAGCAAACAGGCCTCTACTCTCTGGACTGGATGTTTGTGAGGCGAGCAGACTTCATGACTTTTAGTTCTGGTTTTCCCATCTGTACAGTGGGAGTGTTCACTCCGTGATAATGAGTGAGGATGGTTTCTCTGATGTTCTTGACAACCGTGAGGAAGGGGCTAGAATGGGCCCCTTTTTACAAATGGAGAAACTGAGGCTCAGAGAGGTGAGGGGGTTGGCCTGGGGTCACTCAGTATATGAGAGCCGGGACTGGGACCAGCCTGACCAAGCGTCCATCTGCCAGTGCCTCCAGGCCTTGGGGCTGGATGGCAGGGAGGAGACTGGCCCAGGCTCTCACCTGGCTGCCTGCTACCACCAGAAACAATGGGCAAGGAATGGCCAAGGCCAGAATGTATCATGTGGGCTGGTCCTGATCCCCTGAGTGGCCTGGGCTGTTGGGCTCTGTTGAGGGTAGGGCTGTAGTGATCACCCTGCCTCTAGGGGCTCCCCACAGACCGATCTCTCACCCAACAACCCCATTGTCCAGATGATGAAAGTGAGGCTCAGAGAGGGTATAGGTCTCACACAAGGTCACACAGCAAGTAAACATCATGGCTGGGATTCTCCCAAGGACTCTGACCTGAGGTCTACGATGTCGCCCTGCCTCAGACCCTCCTGCAGTCATAATGATGTAGACTTTATGACTGCCACTGACATAAATGGGGAGGAAAGCTGCCACTGTCCTCTGTGCTGGGCACCATGATTTGTACTCACCTGCATCGTGCCACCATGTCATGGTACAGAAGGTCCAACTGTGGAAACTGAGGCTGGGAGAGAGGAGTGCCTTGCTCTGGGTTACAGCTGGATTCAAAGCCCTTCAGTCTGACCAGAGCCGAGGTCTTTCCTCTGCAGCAGCGCTGGCCAAGGACTTCGTGGGGCACGTGTTCAGACAGCTGTGACTGACGGAAGCCAGCCTCAGCCCCAGCTCCTCCCAGATAGAAAGATAGAGGAGAGGGGACTCCCTCACCTTCCCTCCCCATGGGCTCCCCCAGAGCCGGGCTGCCTCCACTTACCCCCTCACTGTCCCCATCTGTCCCTCACACCTGTCCCTTCCCCATCCGTGGACCCCCACAGCCCTTGTCTTCTGTGGTGGGGAACAGCAAGGGAAGAAGTTTGCCCAGGGTCACATAGTAAAAAAGCTTAAAAGCAGACGGAGATTCCAGCCCAGCACTTTCTGGGCCCCTCGGCCTCTCCACCGTCCAGGGCTTGGCCCTTTCCAAACATGGCTCTTGTGCTCTAACCAAATGCCAGGTGCAGTGCCAAGCCTGTGCCTTACTCTGCGGATTCAGAATCCTGCAGGTTAAATGCTGTTGGAATTTGCCCATATCTGCCACCCGTCTACTCCACTCCTGTCTGGGAGGCTTAGTGGCCCCCACCTCCGACTCCCACCAGTGTATTCTCCACCCCCAGCTGGGAGGCTCCCCCTCTGCCCTCCCAGCTGCCCCAGCGAGGTGCCCCAGCTTTGCCCTCCCTCCGTTTTGCCCGGGGCCCACTATGGCTTTCTCTCCCACCCCAGAGCCTGGGCAGTGGCTGTCCTCTCTGCCTGTAACCTTCTTGGCGCTCCCACCTGGCTCCGAGGATCCCCACCCTTTCGTCATTAATCCTGTCTCTCTGGTTCCTGGAACGGGTCTGGCGTTAAGCGGGTGCATGGGAAATGAGTGGGAACCTCATTTTACCCGCAGAGGGACCAGGACAGACACAGATCAGGGCTTCCCAGAGGGCTGCTGGAGAGTTCTTGGAGCTCCCAGCCCCAGCCCTGACCCCAAACCCTGGCTCAGGCCAACAGTAGCAAATATTTACATTTGCAAAGTAAATTCCAGGGAGGGGAGCTGGGCTGGGGCAGGGGAGGCTGCGCTCATGTGGTCTGTGGTCACTGGACCCAGCAGACCTGGGGGGAGGGTTATGAAGGAATAAGCCCCTCAGAGAGAAAGTCAGAACTGGAGCCCAGGGACACCGCCAACGTCTCACACCCCTGTTCCCAGCTGAGGGTGGGATTTAAACACCATGCTCTGCTCCCCTCTTCTCCTGCCCTGGTCCTGCTGTGTGGACGGGCAGCCTCTTCTCTCTGGGCCTCAGTGTTCTCATGAGGATCTGTTGAGAAGGAACATGAGACACTGGGCAGAGGGAAGGGCGGCTGCTTAGGGGGGCACAGGACTAGAAACTGCAGATGGCACTGGCCTTGTGGAGGTCAAGATGGAGTGATGAGAGCTTGTTGGTGGGGGGCTTTGGTGGGTTCCCTGGTCTGTGCAGGAAGGCTTTTTGGAGGAGGTGACATGGGGGCAGTGGCTGTGGGGATGAGGAGGCAGTGCGCTCATGTGTGTGTGTGTGTGTGTGTGTGTGTGTGTGTGTGTGTGTAGGGCTGGCTGGGACCTCCCAGATGGTGGGAAGTGGCCCACAGTCAGGGTCCCAGGGTGGAGCCAGGGTTTGTGGTCCTGGGACTAGCGGGGAGCTCCTTGGGGGGCGAGGTTGGGGCTGGGGAGGGGCCCTTCAGGGTGGACCACCAGGCTGGGGTGAGGGGGGCTCTCAGCCCACTGGGGCCCGCTCCAGGGGCCCTGGCTCAACACCAGTGGGAGGGATGTGACATTTTTATCCTACAGGAGACCTCCCCCAGCCCTAGACTTTTTACGTACTGGAATTTTGTGTGGTGTAGGGCCATTTACAACCTGGTTCATCCCTTAAAGTATTTCTGTCCGTTTCTTAGAATTTAGGGAGAGCTTGGGAGGCCATTTTTTGTGAATTTTGAATCCAGAACCAATATTTTCTGGTCTTTTTGACAGTTTTTGTTATTTAAACTTTCTTTTTTTTTTTTTAATTTTAACTCACAATTTCTTTGAGCCAGTTATGTCTGCACTGCTGGTCAGACCGTGTTTTCATTAGTTTTTCTATTTCTCTCTGGCTCCCAGTGAAATGTCCCAAAGCAAGTGGGTTGAAAAATAATTTCCAACCATGTGTTCACAGATTAAAAACTTGGGGACCCCCTGGCGTGACATTAGAACCCTTATGTTCATTTTCAAGACAGTCATGTCTGCCGTCCACATTATTTTGCCTTTTATTTTGTTTGCTTGCTTTAAATTCATTTTCAGCCAGTGATTCATGCATTCCTCAACAAGAGGTTTAGTGAAGCCCTGAGGCCCTACTGCGCACCGGGCACTTTCCCCAGCCACTCGCAAGACGGATGAGGTCCCTGCCTGGTGGAGTTCACGTTCCAGCCTAGGAGGGCGGAAGATCAGACCGGGGAACTGGCAAGCAGATAACATGTTAGAGGGTGGAAAGTGCCATGGAAAAAATGGAAGACGATAGCAGGGTGGTGCGGAGGATGGGCAGGGCGGACGCTCTGCCCAACTTCATCCCAGAGAAAACCCAAACTTCCATGGGGTTGGAGGGATGGCCTCTTCTTTTGGTTGACTTCCTGGAAGCAGTCATCCAGTGGCCTTTTACATCTTCACCTGGGAGCAAAGGAGATGCGGAGGACTTACCGAGGTCGTTCTTCTAAGGAACCAGCATTCTTGACGGGCGCCGGGCCTCCCTGCCTCTGCCAAGGGGAACCTGGGGGACTTGCAGTGCCAGGTGGCCCAGGAGAGAGGACGGGCCCTGGAGTTAGACTAACCTGGGTTCCAGTCCAGGCTCCAGCCTTCAGCTGGGTGACCAGTCTCTTTACCTCTCTGCCTTGTTTCCCCCCAAAGGGAAATATTCATATTCACTCATCCATTTATCTGAGCATGGGGTCGGGGGGCAGAGGAGTGATAATACCAAGCTACTCTGTGCCCATTTCCCCATCTGTAAAGCAGAGGGGTTACTAGCACCCACTCACAGGGCTTCGTGAGGACAGTGAGTTAAGACTGTTTATGAGAAGTGCTTAGAATGTGCCGGGCCCAGCATAAGTGCTGCACAAGCATTGGCTGTTATTATTATTACCTACCTTGCAGGATCGAGCTGGGCTTAGCACCGGGCGTGGCTCATGGTGGCATTATCACCCCCCCACTGCTGTTGTTCTGCCCACAGAGCCCCTAACCCCTGCCCCAGTCTTGGGCTGCCAACCCCCTTCCTCTATCCCAGGTGAGATTTACCCCCTGTGAGAGGGCAAGTCGCAGGCCCCCACGGAGCGAAGGCCCCGTGGTGGGACCTGGAGAGGGTCTGGCAGCCACCCTGCTGGGGGTTGGCCAGAGGGACCCGTCTGGTTTGAATTCCCAGCGCCTCTCACTCCCTGCACCAACCCACACCCTGGCTCTGAGCTGCCAGGCCCGTGCCTTATTTGGGTCTTGTCTCCCCCCAGGCAACGCTTTGCTGCCTTAAAAGGCAGGCCCGGGCTGGGGGGTGGGGCAGTTGCCACTGCTGGCTTCAGAGCCCCTCCAGCTGCAACCCCGCCCCTGGCTTGGCCAGCCCAACCCTCCAGCTATGGAGAGAACCTGGTCCCCAAAGCCAGACCAGCCAGGATGGCCTGCTTCTCATAGGGGTGGCTGCAGGGGTGGCCTCCTGGAACAGGCCCCCCGTGCCCTCCCAGGCAGCCAGCCTCCCTCTGGTTTTCATTTAAAACCAGAGCTGTATCCACTTCAGTGTCTTCTTACCAAGTGGGGCAGGGAGAGGGTGGATGGTGACGTTGCTGTGTTTATTGAGCACCTACTGCATACCAGGCCCTGTGTGTGCTTATTAAGCCCTTTGCATGCATGTCCATCCTCAGGCCTCACGCCAGCCCGGGAGGTGTAGAGACCTTATGATCCCATTTTACAGATGGGAAAATCAGCAGGTCCAGGGAGGACAAGTCACATAGGTCAGCAATTAGCAGGGCTGGGACCTGACCTTGCATCTGTTGACTCTAAGCTGTTAACCCATGCAGCTTGCTGGGGTTGTTGGAGAAGCCCCCAGCCTCACCCATGGCCCCCACCCATTGCCAGCCCCCCTCCCCAGCCCCGTCAGGTTGATAGCCTTGTCCCAGCTCAGCCCAGTTCATGCTGTGTGACCCAGGCAAACTGCCCCACCTCTCTGGGCCTCTCTCCCTTTGCACTAAGGGGAGTAGGGATCCCTCTGTGGCTGCAGTGGCAGGTCGGCGGGTGGGGAGGGGGACAGAACAAAATGTCACAGCCAGCAGGGCTCTCACCCTCACTGTCCCTCAGTTGTAGGCTCCTCTGGCTTCGTGGAGCCCAGGTGGTCGGGCAACGCCATGTGGCGGATGGCACTTCGGCCCACAGCCCTGTCAGGTGGGTCCTGGGGCAGCTGTTTGGGGTCCCCCTGGGCTAGGGGAGGCTGGAGGGGCTGGTGGTGACTGTCCTAAAAACCAGCTGGGCCCAGCAGTGGAGGGTCAGGGATAGCACCCTGCGCTTGTCCACTGCAGGCTGGAAAGAAAACTGGAAGGTAGAGGAAAGGCCCCCAAGGGGAGTCTGACCTGGGCCCAGGCACCTGAGACCCAGGACCCCCAGAGTCTTGCAGACATGGGTCCAAGCCCCCACTTTCCTTTTTTTATTGAAACGACACTTTTCTGAGTGTCTGTAGGATGCGGGGCACTGTGCCAGGAGCTTTCCATAATCAACTTTGTGTAGACCTCACCCCAGGAAGGCATCATTGTTGCCACTTTAAAGAGGAGGCTGAGGGTCAGAGAGGGGACGTGCCCTGCCGGGGGCCCCGCAACCAGGAAGGGGCAGCGCTGGGCCTCGACCCAGGGTTTTTGCCTGTTACACACTCACGCCACCCTTGCTCTGAGCTCAGCCTTCCCAGGTGTGAACGGGGTGACACTTGTCCTAGCACGCAGGATCGTGGTGAGGACCGGAGAGGCGAGCTTGTATCGTGCTCGGTGGCTGCCCGGCACTGTTATGAATGACGTTGGGGTATCAATGAGGAGGCCAGGGAGCTGGACAGTGGTTCTGGAAGAAGGGTCAGAGCGTGACACCTAAGGCCATCCCAGTCTGGACTGTAATGTGTGGGTCCCCAAAGCTTCAAGCCGAGGCCAGCCCCGCCCACGTGGGATGCAGTCGTTTTGGATGAGGAGTCAGATCCCTGGTCCTGCTCTGAGAGAAACAGTCCCCTTGGAGGCTCTGGAGCCAAAGGACACCCACAGGGCATGGCTCACCTTGGACAGGCTGTGACTCTTTAGCTCCTTCCCTGTGATGGGCTACCTCATGGGTTAGGGTCATCAGGTATCTGTCCCCTCCCTCCATCCTGCCCCCAGGGGCTGAGGGGCTCCAAGGGGAACCTGGGAGCCCTGGCCCAGCCTGCTTCCTCCCTGCAGGTTGTCTCAACTGCAGCAAAGTGTCAGAGCTGACGGAGAGGCTGAAGGTTCTAGAAGCCAAGGTGGGTGAACAGCTTCCGGGCCAGGCAGGCACCACCCTCCCATTCAGCTTTCTCAGCCTCCCTTCCAGCGCCCACCCCGGGAAGCCTGCGCACAGTCAGGCAGCCTGGCCTGCTCTCCTTCCAGGAGATCCATGAGGTTCTCCTATCCCCATCCCACCCAGAGACTCCTAGACACCCCCCCAGAGCTCATGGCTGGGTCCTCTTATTGCCCTGTCACCTTCATCCTTTATCCCACCCACCCATAATACCATCTTCCCAGTTCCAGAAAGAAAAACATCTATTGCGTGTCTCAAATTATCTCAAGATAAAAAGGTTTTAACCATTAAAAAGTAAGGCATTCTAAATTTAGAAACATGAAAAACTCAGCACCATGAAAAACCATTGGCCTCTGTCGCCTGTGCCCCCAGAGAGAGCGATTACCAACATTTAAGCATCTTTTCTTCCAGATTTTCTAAACACACATAGATGCATTTACATTAATCTCCATATCCATTCCCTCCTCTGGGAATTTATCTTAGGAAGATTAGTTGCAAAGATGTTCATCCAAGTGTTAATTAAGAGGGAAATTTGAAAACCAAACAACAGAAGGGGTGGTTGTATAATGAGCAAGTGTGGCTCAGTGGAATACTGGACAGCCATTAACAATGCCTCCATTTTCCAACACGAAAAGATGCCCCTGATCTATCAAGTGGAAAAACCAAGCTTCTAAACAGCATGGGTTAAAACCCCCGTTATGAGGTGTGAGCACCCCAGGAACCCCACCCTGCTCCCCAAGCTCCCTCCCAGGGGAAGCCGGCATGAGGGGCAGCTCAGCTCAGATCTGGGGGCTGGGTCTCAGTTCCGGGTCAGCTTCTCTCTGGGCACGTCTACACGGCCCCCCACTTCCTGGTCTGCGGACGTTCTGGCCTCTCTTAATCCTCAGTAAGTGGCTCAGGGGACACCGCTGACCCTTCAGGCTCTCCCCTCCACTGGGTCCAAAAGTGGTTTTGTACACATCTCGGCACCTCTGTTTCATGCCAGACCCTCCCAAATTTCCCTTCAAATTTAGTAAAAATCCGTGCAGCCTGTGGTGCTTTAACAGACCAAGAGAAGTTTAATATGTATGCATCTAAATGTATATAAATACACTTATTAACATGCAGGTAAGCATAGGAAAAAACCGCACAGCCCAGCAAACACGAGGACAGTCTCAGAACTGAAAGTGGGTGACTGTGATGGTGTGTGATGACTTTTCTACAATGAATGTGATGAATTGTGCATTTTGAAAACCATGGTCACTTCTGATGAAGTTCGGGGCGCCTGTGAGTCCGGGTCTCCACTCCAGGCTGGGTTCCGCCAGCCACGTGGCCTCCTGCCCCCCAACACCAGGGCCCCGAGCTGGCCTGACCCTGGCGAGACCCTGGTACCCACCCCATCCCTATTGTCCTCTTCCTCCATAGGTGGCGGTGCTGACTGTCACTGAGCAGGCAGTGCCCCCGACCCCAGCTGCCCCTGAGGACCCTGCCCCGCTCTGGGGTTCCCCAGCTGCGCAGGGCAGCCCCGGGGATGGAGGCCTCCAAGGTGAGTGCGTCAGTGGCGAACATGCTCCCGTGTGGCAATGAGTTGGATCCAGCCCCCTCCCTGCTGCTGACTCCCAGCTTGACCCCCTTGTGGGCCTCAGTCTTCCTAGTTTTCCCTTGGGCCTGAGGGGATGGTCTCCAGGGGCCCCTGAGCACTGGAGTCCTGGGAGGCCCAGCAGCTGGTGGAGCAGGGGTAGGAACTCTAGACACCACTGACCCCTGCCTACCTCTCCACCCCAGGGCTACCAGGAACCAGAGAAAATGTGAGGGCCCCTCTGCTCCCCCGAGATGGTAGGTGCTAGCGGGGCGGGCAGGGCCGGGGGCAGGCCAAGCGCAAGGCTGGAGCTGTGGAGCTGATGAACTTTCTCCCCCAGATCGAGTTGGTGCCCGGGGGCTTCCTGGGCCCTCTGGCCCCAAGGGAGACCCTGGCAGCCGGGGCCCAATGGGGATGAGAGGCCTGCCAGGTGAGTGCCCACAACACCGGCCCTTCCAGCTCCCCTGGCCAGCCCTGCTCAGGTGAGCCCAGGCTGGGGCCTTCCTTACCAGACCCTGCCCTCCTGGAGCTCCCAGACCATGAAGGCTAGTGGGGGTGGGCCTAGTAGGCAGGGGAGAAATAGCAGTGCCCACCCCATGTGACCAGGGTTCTTATGGGGGATGTTGCAGCTAAGGGAGCCCTAAGGAAGGAAGTCCAGACCCAGCCTGGATGGAGTGGGGGACGGGGAGGGCTTCCCAGTGGGAGCTACACCTTAGGTTAGGCCTCAGAATGACCAGAAGTGCACACCAGGCAGCGCTAAGGGAGGACTGATAGAGGGAGCAGCTCGTGCAAAAGCCTAGAAGAGAGAGGAGAGAACATTCTGGAAATCAGCGTCTGCTAGGCACCTGTTGTGTACCAAGTGTCCACTGTCCTGAAGCCCCAGGGGAGGGCTGTGTTCATCCCCCTCATAGACAGCCAGGGAGGGAGTCTGGCCTGTGGCCTCTGGAGCCATCTCGTACCTGCTGCCCTTGGCTGCCTCATCCCTGGGCCACCCTGGGCCTCCCTGCCTCTTGCACACCCACCAAACCCCCTGGTTCCATTGCAGGTCCGCAGGGCCCCCCAGGGAGCCCTGGCCAGGCTGGAGCTGTGGGCACCCCTGGAGAGAGGGGACCTCCAGGCCCGCCAGGGCCTCCTGGCCCCCCAGCCCCACTTGGACCACCCTACGCCCGGATCTCCCAGCATGGTGAGTCCCTTGGGGTCACAGCAGGTCCAGGTGGTGGTGGGGTGAGGCTGGCATGACCATCTGCCAGGCACCTTCTGTATACCAGGCTTGGCCTTGGGCCATAAGTCACCTGATCCTCCAGTGGGCGCTGTTGTCACTGATGAGGAAAACTGAGGGCCAGAGAGGGGAGATCACACAGCCAGGGCACAGGGGGGCCGGCTTCAGATCCACGAACCCTCCAGAGCCTGTGCTGGGAACCACCAGCATCAGGCCCTCCCACCAAGCCTTGGAGCTGTCCGGGATCCAGCCCTCAGAGCACTGGGAAGCTCAAGGCCTAGCAGCAGGACGTGAGCCCTGAACTCCCAAGGCCACAGCCCTGCCTCTGTGCTCAGAGAGGCCCTGCCCCCTCCGCCCAGCTGGGCCCTGACGCGCATCCTTCACCTTCTCCAAAGCCTGACTTGCATGCGCGCTGCCAGGGGTCAGCGCTTGGAGTGCCAGGTTCAACCCCATCTGCATCATACCTTTGGTGCGTGACCAGGCACCATTCATTCATTCTCCCTCTCCAAGGGACTTCCCTGGCGGTTCAGTGGTTAAGACTCTGCCCTTCCAATGCAGGGGGCATGGGTTCGATCCCTGCTCAGGGAACCAAGATCCCACGTGTGGCGGGGTGTTGCCAAAAAACAACAACAACAACAAAACATTCTCCATCTCAGAGCCTCAGTTTCCTTATCTGTATGACACCCATGCACAGAAGCTTGGCACAAAGTAAGTGTCAAAAATGGTAACTTTTATTATTATTCCCATTAGGCACGTGACAGTACAGGCTCAGCAGGGTAGACACTTGCTGGATGACACTGGCTAGACTCTGGCAGTGTCTCCCTGCTTCCTGGTCCTGCATGGCCAACAGTCTCCTGACTCCCCACCCTTGGAGTGGGTGCCTCGTGGCCCCAGCCATGCTGTAGGCTGTCCCACAGGGCAGTCAAAGCTGGCTTGGCAGAAGTGACAGGTTAAAACTGACTGCCCGGGCTCCCCTGGTGGTGGAGTGGTTGAGAGTCCGCCTGCCGATGCAGGGGACACAGGTTCGTGCCCCAGTCCGGGAAGATCCCACATGCTGCGGAGCGGCTAGGCCCATGAGACAATGGCCGCTGAGCCTGTGCGTCTGGAGCCTGTGCTCCACGGGAGAGGCCGCAGCAGTGAGAGACCCGCGTACTGGAAACAAACAAACAAACAAAACAAAAAAACTGACTGCCCCACTCTGCCCCGCCCAGCCCAGCCCTGCTCACTCATCTTTCCTCCCCCAGGGGACCCATTTCTGTCCAACACCTTCACTGAGACCAGCAGCTACTGGCCCCAGGGACCGACTGGGCCCCCAGGCCCCCCAGGACCCATGGGTAAGTTGAGTCCAGGTCTAGGGTAAGGGGCAGGGTTGAGGGATGGCAGAGAGACTAGGGCTGGCTATCAGGAGGGAGCTGATGATGGACTTCCTGGCATTGTACTGTTGAGGGCATCATGTCTTATTCCAGGTCCTCCTGGACCTCCTGGTCCCATGGGCATCCCTGGGAATCCTGGACATATAGTGAGTATTTCTCCAAGTACTCCCACTCTTCTGTCCGTCCATCCACCCACCCACCCCCGCACCCAACCCATCCATCCACTCACCTATCCACCCACCCACCCACTCAACCACCCATCCATCCATCATCCATTCATCCATCCTTTCATTCATTCATTCAAGCATTTATGAAGCACTTAATGTGCAAGATACTTTCCATAAATCTTCTTATTCAGTCCATGTAACAAGAAGCAAGTATTGTTATCACCTAAGGCCAAGAAAGGTGGAGATTCTTGCCCTAGGGCTGTGGCCAGCACATGGCAGCTTCCAGATCAATGCAGGGACTGTCTGACTCCAGGGCCATCGCTCTGAACACTGAGCTGTATGCACTTCCTGTTGTGTGCTAGGCATTGGATGTGTGGAGAAGGGCCCAGAAGCCCAGGGCAAGCTGGGGTGCCCTTCCCTACCCCTCTGCCCCCTAAGTCCCTGCCCCCTCTACCCTGCCCCAGCACAAGGCTGAGGCCCTGTCTTGTTGCTCAGGGACCCCCAGGCCCCACTGGACCCAAAGGAATCTCCGGCCACCCAGGAGAGAAGGGCGAGAGAGTGAGTATTGAGGTGGCCCTGGGTGGAGGATTCTGGGGAGTCCTGGGCACCCTGGGTCAGACCCTCTGACAGCGCACTCCATTCTTCTCCTCCCTCCTACAGGGACTGCGTGGGGAGCCTGGCCCCCAGGGCTCCATGGGGCAGCAGGTAAGTGATGCTGCCCACCCTGCAGCACCCCCTCCAGGATCCCACAGGCCCAGACCCCTGCTATGGCTCCATCTCCTATGGCCAGAGCCCCTGTCCCTCCCTGTCTGGTCCAGAGCAAGCTCCGTCTCCTTTCTCACCCCCTGTCTCAGGGTTCCATCAGCCTCTTAGGATCAGTCTGCCTCCATCTCCCTCGCTCTTGCTCTGTGTCTCTGTACCTGTTTGTCTTTCTCTATCTTCCCTCTGTGTCTCCATCTCTCTGACTCTTTGTATTTCTCTCTTTCTCCATCTCTCCAACTATGACTGTAGATTTGTCTATTTCTCGCTCTAGTTTGGTCAGTTTTTGCTCCATGTATTTTGAAGCTTTGTTATTAGGTGCATACACATTCAAGATTTTAATGACTTCTTGGTCCTTTTATCTGTATGAAATGAATATCTTTCTCTCTGGTAATACTTCTTGTCTTGAATTCTATTTTGTTTGATATTAAAATAGCCACACCAGCTTTCTTATGCTTGGTGTTTGCATGATATATCTTTTCCAATCCTTTTACTTTCAACTTGTTTGTCTTTCTATTAAAAGTGCGTCTTGGGCTTCCCTGGTGGTGCAGTGGTTAAGAATCCACCTGCCAATGCAGGAGACATGGGTTCGAGCCCTGGTCAGGGAACTGGGATCCTGCATTCTGCGTGGTGCAGCCAAAAAAAGAAAAAAGACATACTTGAGTCTTGCTTTTTTTTTTTTAAACAGCCTAACTATTGAGTTCATTTACTTTTTTTTGTTTGTTTTGGCCACACTGCCCAGCTTGCAGGATCTTAACTCCCCAACAAGGGATTGAACCTGCGACCTCGGCAGTGAAAGCATGGAGTCCTAACCACTGGACCACCAGGGAATTCCCCATTTACATTTATTTATTTATTTGGTTGCACTGGGTCTTAGTTGCAGCAGGCAGGCTCCTTAGTTGCAGCTCGCAGGCTCCTTAGTTGCAGTTTGTGGTCTCCTTAGTTGTAGCATGTGAACTCTTAGTTGCAGCATGCATGTGGGATCTAGTTCCCTGAGCAAGGATCGAACCCGGGCCCCCTGCATTGGGAGCATGGAGTCTTTTTTTTGTTTTTTGCGGTACGCGGGCCTCTCACTGCTGTGGCCTCTCCCGTTGCGGAGCACAGGCTCCGGACGCACAGGCTCAGCGGCCATGGCTCACGGGCCCAGCCGCTCCGCGGCATGTGGGATCTTCCCGGACCAGGGCACGAACCTGTGTCCCCTGCATCAGCAGGCGGACTCTCAACCACTGTGCCACCAGGGAAGCCCAAGGGAGCATGGAATCTTAACCACTGTGCCACCAGGGAAGTCCCTCCATTTACATTTAGTGCTGTATATTATTATTGATATGGTTCTGTTTAAGTCAACTATCTGGCTATTTGTGTTCTGTTTACCCCAATCTCTCCTTTATTTCTTGTTCTCCCCTTCTTTTCCTGCCTTCTTTTTTTTATTTTAGATTTTTAAAAAAATTTTATTGGAGTATAGTTGATTTACAATGTTGTGTTTCAGGTGTGCAGCAAAGTGAATCAGTTATACATATACAAATACCTGCTCTTTTTAAGATTCTTTTCCCATATAGGTCATTACAGAGTATTGAGTAGAGTTCCCTGTGCTATACAGTAGGTTCTTATTAGTTATCTATTTTATATACTGTAGTGTGTATATGTCAATCCCAATCTCCCAATTTATCCCTCCTCCCCCCTTTCCTCCCTGTTAACCATAAGTTTGTTTTCTACATCTGTGACTCTATTTCTGCTTTGTAAATAAGTTCATTTGTACCTTTTTTTTTAGATCCCCTGCCTTCTTTTGGATTGAGAATTGTTCTGTGTTGTCTCTACTAATGACTTGTTCACTATACCTCTTTGTGTTACTTTTTTCATGGTTGCTCTAAGGATAACAATATGCATCCTTTTACTTGAATTAGTATTATACCTCTTCATGTATACATAAGAACGTTACAACTGTATAATCCACTCCCTTCTGTCCTTGTGCTATTGCCATCATATATTTTACTTCTGTATTTGTTATAAATCCTCAATACATTGTTGTTATTGCTTTAAACAGTTGACTTTTAAAGAAGTTTAAAAAACAAAGAAAAATAGTCTTTTACATCTCATGATGTATTTATCATTTCTATACTCTTTTTACCTTCCTGTAGATCCAGATTTTCATATAGTATCATCTCTCTTGAGCCTAAAGAACATCCTTTAGCCTTTTTTGTAGTGTGGGTCTGCTGGCAACAAATCCTCACTGCTTTTGTTATCTAAAACTGTATTTAACCTTAATTTTTGAAAGATATTTTCACTGGATATAAAATGATAGGTTGGCAGTTTTATCCCCCTTCATTACTTTAAAGATGTTGTTCTGTGGTCCTCTGGCTTACGTAGACAATTACAATTTCTCATGAGAAACTGACTGTCATTCTTATTGTTTTTCCCCTGTACATAATATGTCTTTTTTTCCTTTGGCATTTAAGACTTTCTCTTTACCCTTGGTTTTCATCAGATTGATCATGATGTGGATGGCTGTGATTTTCTTTGTGTTTATCCTGCTTTGGGTTGGCTGAGATTCCCGGATCTGTAAGGTTGCTGGGTTGTGTTTTTCGTTGATTGTTTTGTTTAATGAATAAAATTCTTTTTTACAGCATTTTTTGAGTTTACAGCAAAATTGAGTAGAAAGTACAGAGAATTCTCACATACTCCCTGTCCCCACACGTGGATAGCCTACCCCACCATCGACATCTCACATCACAGTGGTGCATTTGATACAATTGATGAATCCACATTGTCATGTCATTATCCCCCAAAGTCCATAGTTTACATTAGGATTCATTCTTGGTGTTGTACGTTCTATGGGTATTAATAGATGTATAATGACATGTATACGCCATTGTAGTATCATGTAGAATATTTCACTGCCCTAAAAATCCTCTGTGCTCTGCTTATTCATCCCTCTCTCTCTTCTAACCCCTGATCTTTTAACTGTCTCCACATTTTTGCTTTTTCCAGAATGTCATATAGCTGGAATAATACAGTATGTAGCCTTTTCAGATTGGCTTTTTTCACTTAGTAATACACATTTAAGGTTCTAGCGTGTCTCTTCATGGCTTGATAGCCCTTTTTTTTTTTTGAATAATATTCCATTGTATGTACCACAGTTCATTTATCCATTCACCTACTGAAGGACATCTTGGTTGCTTCCAAGTTTTGGCAATAGTGAATAAAGCTGCTATAGACATCCAAGTGTAGGTCTTTGTGTGGACATAACTTTTCAATTAATTTGGTTAAATGCCAATGAGTGCAATTGCTGGATCATATGGTAAGAGTATGTTTAGTTTTATAAACTTTTTTGTAAGTTTTTGTAAGAAACTGTGGTCACCATACTATATCTTAGATCCTTAGATTAGAACTTAGTCATCTGGGAGTTCACTGGCAGTCTAGTGGTTAGGACTTGGCACTTTCACTGCCATGGGTTCAGTCCCTGGTCGGGGAACTAAGATCCCTCAAGCTGCACGATGCAGCCAAAAGAAAAAAAAAGAACTTAGTCATCTTATAACTGAAAGTTTGTACCCTTTTACCAACCTTTCTCCATTCCTTCCCTCCCCACAACCCAGTCCCTGGCAACCACCGTTCTACTGTTTCTCTGAGTTCAACTTTTCTTTTCTTTCTTTTTTTTTTTCCGCATTCCACATATAAGTGATACCACACGGTAGTTGTCTTTCTCTGTCTGGCTTATTTCACTTAGCATAATGCCCTCCAGATTCATCCATGTGGTCACAAATGGCAGGATTTCCTTCTTTTTTAAGGCTGAATAATATTCCTGTGTGTGTGTGCATAACCCACATAGTATTTATGTGTTCATCAATCAATGGACACAGGTTCTTTCCATATCTTGGCTATCATGAATAATGCTGCAATGAACATACCTCTTCAAGACAGTGATTTCCTTTCCTGTGGATAGATAACCAGAAGTGGGATTGCTGGATCATACAGTAGTTCTATGTTTAATTTCTTGAGGAATCTCCATACTGTTTTCCATAATGGCTGTACCAGTTTACATTTCCACCAGCAGTATACAAGTGTTCCCCTTTTTCCACATTCTCACCACCATTTGTTATCTCTCATCTTTTTGATAACAGACATCCTAACAGGTATGAAGTGATAGCTCAAGTTGTGGTTTTGATTTGCATATTCCTGATGACTAGTGATGTTGAGCATCTTTTCACATACCTATTGGCCATTTGTATATCTTCTTTGCAAAAATGTCTATTCAGGTCCTTAGCCCATTTTTTAATTGGCTTATTTGGGGGTTTTGCTATTGAGTTGTTTAAGTTCCTTATATATTTTGGATATTAACTCCTTATTGGACATGTGGCTTGCAAATATCTTTTACGATTTCATAGGTCGCCTTTTCATTTTGTTGATGGTTTCCTTTCCTGTGCAAAAGCTTTTTAAATTGGGTTGTTTGTTTTCTTCTTGTTGAAGTTTAAGAGTTCTTTGTATATTTTGCATATACAGAGATACACCTTTGTACACCTTTATCAGATGTATCTTTTGCAAATATTTTCTCCGAGTCTATAACTTGTCTTCTAATTCTCTTGACATTCACTTTTGCAGAGCAGAAGTTTGTAATTTTAATGAAGTCCAGCTTATCAATGATTTCTTTCATGGATTGTGCTTCTGGCGTTGTACCTAAAAAGTCATCATTAAACCCAAGGTCATCAAGGTTTTCTCCTATGTTATCTTCTACAAATTTTATAGTTTTGCATTTTACATTTAGGTCTGTGATATATTTTGAGTTAATTTTTGTGAAGAGTATGAAGTCTGTGTCTAGATTCATGTTTTTGCATTTAGATGTCCAGTTGTTCCAGCATCATTTGTGGAAAAGACTACCTTTGCTCCATTGTATTGCCTTTGCTCCTTTGTCAAAGATCAGTCAACTATATTTATGTGGGTCTATTTCTGGGCTCCCTGTTCTGTTCCATTAATCTGTTTGACTGTTCTTTAGCCAATACCACACTGTCTTGACTAGTGTAGATTTATACTAAGCTCCCTCTAAGCACTGCTTTCACTATCTCCTACAAATTTTGCTAAGTTGCATTTTTATTTTCATGTAGTTCAAAGTATTTTAAAATTTCTCTTGAGATTTGTTCTTTGGTCCACCTGTTATTTAGAAGTCTTTTGTTTAATCTCCAAGTATTGGGGGAGTTTCCAGTTATCTTTTTTTGTGAGGGGAGCTGTGCCTCGCAGCTTGTGGGATCTTAATTCCCCTACCTGGGATCGAACCCATGCCCCCTGCAATGGAAGCTTGGAGTCCTAACCACTGGACCGCCAGGGAATTCCCTCCAGTTATCTTTTTGTTAGGGATTTCTAATTTAATTCCATTGTAGTCTAAGAGCATACATTGTATGATTTCTATTCTTTTTAATTTGTTGAGTTATATTTTATGGGCCAGAATGTGGTCTATCTTGGTGAATGTTCCATGTGAGCTTCAGAAGAATGTGTAATCTGCTGTTGTTGGATAAAGTGGTCTATAGATGTCAATTTTATCTGGTTGATTAATGGCATTGGCGGATTCATATATTTGTTTTGCAGTTCTATCGGATTTGGCCTCACATATTTTGATGCTCTGTTGTAAAGTGCATATACATTAAGGATTGTTATGCCTTCATGGAATGCTGACCCCTCTATATCCGTGATAACTTTCCTTGCTCTGAAGTGTGCTCTGTCTGAAATTAATATAGCTACTCCCACTTTTGTTAAAAAATTTATTTATTTTATTTTTGGTTGCATTTGGGTCTTTGTTGCTCCATGCAGGCTTTTCTCTAGATGCAGCGAGCGGGAGCTACTATTTGTTGCAGTGCGCAGGCTTCTCATTGCCGTGGCTTCTCTTGTTGCGGAGGACGGGCTCTAGGTGCGTGGGCTTCAGTAGTTGTGGCACGCAGGCTCAGTAGTTGTGGCTCGTAGGCTCTAGAGTGCGGGCTCAGTAGTTGTGGTGCACGGGCTTAGTTGCTCCGCGGCATGTGGGATCTCCCCGGACCAGGGCTCGAACCCATGTCCCCTGCATTGGCAGGCGGATTCTTAACCACTGCGCCACCAGGGAAGTCTGAGGCTCTGTTAATTTTTTAAATAATCTTTCTTCTCTCTGGGCTTCACTTAGAATTATTGCATTGACCTGTCAAGTTAGTTGATTCTTTCTTCTGTTATGGCACATCTTCAATTAATCCCAGCTAATTAATTTTTTATTTCAAGTATTATCATTTTTATTTCCAGGATTTCCATTTGATTCTCTTTTCATAATTTTCACATCCCTCCTGAAATTCCCCATCTCATCACCCATTGTATCAATTCCACTAGATTCAATTTTTTATTTTTGGCTCCGTTGGGTCTTAGTTGTGGCAGGCGGGATCTTCACTGAGGCACGTGGGATCTTTTGTTGTGGCACGTGGGCTTTTCACTGCAGTGCGCGCAATTCTCTCTAGTTCTGGTGTGCAGGTTTTCTCTTCTCTATTTGTGGCATGCGGGTTTTCTCTTCTCTAGTTGTGGCATGCTGCCTCTGGGGTGCATGGGTTCTGTAGTTTGTGGCATGCAGGCTCTCTAGTTGAGGCGCACGAGCTCAGTAGTTGTGGCGTGCAGGCTTAGTTGCCCCACATCCCCTGCATTGAAAGGTGGCTTCTTTACCACTGGACCACCAGGGAAGTCCCTCCACTATATCCTTTAACATAGTTGTCACAGATATTTTAATCTCCTTGTCTGGTAATCCCAGTACCTGGGTTGGCTATGGATCTGTTTCTACTAACTGATTTTTCTCTTGCATATGGGTCACATTTTTCCATTTCTTCACATGTCTAATAATTTTGTATTGCATCTTGGACAATATAGACAATATAGTGAAGACAGTCTTCCTCTGAAGAGTGTTGAGTTTTGCTCTATGGTGTGGCTCCAACTCAGCTCTGTGACTTTAGCATGGGCATTTCATGGACCATCCAAGGATTAGAGTGGAGTATTTATACAGATTTTGCTCCCCTACTGTGGCTCTCTGCTTTCCAGCATTTCCCCTCAGTTTCCTCCTTCTTTGTCAGCCTTGACCCCGACCTCTGATTCCTCAGGCCAATAAGACTAAAGCTTGCTGCTTGAGCTGTTTGCCAGGCAGAGGGGGTTGGGATGAGCCCTCAGAGGAAAAGCCGTAACTATACTGATGCTACCCAGTGCAGTTCCCTTCTTTCTAAGGTCAGATATCCTTCAGTTACTGGCTGCTCTTTATCACTTTCCATTGCCTTCAAACAGTTGTTTTTTGCATTTTTATCTCGCCCAAACGAGCTACTCTCTGTCTCACCCTTGCTCAGCCTCTCTTCCTCTATCTGTCCTCGCCTCTCTCACTGTTCCTACCTCTCTCTCCTTGCAGGGAGAACCTGGCCCCAAAGGAGACCCTGGTGAGAAGAGCCACTGGGTAAGCCACTAGCCCAGCACTGCCCTCCCGCTGCCTCCCCGCCCTGGACACTCAGGAGATTATTTGGGGGTGGGGGCACCCCATCCAGATCCCCTTTGCAACCTGGTCTCCAAGTGGGGAGGCTTGCCAGTTCTCAGCCCCAGCGTCCTCCCCTACCCTGTCCCTCCCCAGTGGGCAGGGCCAGCCTTATCAGCAGACCCTACATTCTTTGTCTCTGTCTTTATCCCTATCTCTGCCTTCCTTCTGTGGCCTTTCCAGGCCAGGGTGACCCTGCCAGTTCTCCTGGGCAGTTTGGGCTGACCCAGTCCAGACTGCATCCCCTGCCTCCATAGCCCCCTCCCAGCAAGGGCTTTGGCTTCTGCTCCCCTGTCTGCAAAAGAAAGGGAAGCATGAAAACAATATCCACACAGAAGAACGGGACAGGAGGCCTTAGGAGAGCCATGGAGCAGAGGAAGGGAGGTGTAGAAACGCTGAGGTACACAGGAGCACTTCGGTAAAAGGGACAGGGCACTAGACACCACCATACACATAGGAATCCGTGAATCACAGGAAAGGAGACTTGGAAACCACCATGGACACGTTGTACATGGTAAATGAGGTCAGGGGACCTAGATCCATTGTACCCAAAAGACCTATAATTAACATGAGGTCCCAGACACCATCACATACACAGGAGACCCATGAGGAGTGGGAGGAGAGGCCTAGAAACTGCCATACGCACCAGAAAACCATGGAAAATGAGATGGGGGATCTGGAAACCACTGTACACAAAGGAAGCCCATGAAGACTGGGAAGGGAGGTCTAGAAACTGTCACATACACAGCAGACATAGAATAAATGGGAAAGGGGACCTAGAAACCACATGTGGGATCCTAGAACCTTCACATCACGAGAGAGACTTGCAGTGAATGAATTTCAGGGCCTAGAAATCACCCACCCAGGAGACATGGGGGGAGGACTAAAAGCCCCACGGTGCAGGGACCTGGAAATCATCACTGATATAGGACACATTTGGAAAACTGGATGGGATGGGGGCAGACAGGAGAGGCAACTGGGGAGTTCTTTTGGAGGCTGGTATTGTGCCTCCCTCCCTCGTCCACCCCTCTCCCTGGTGCAGTCTGGCTGGGACGCCCTACTTCCTGGCAGGCATTAGTTAATGAAGACATGGGAAGCACCCAGCGCCTGCCCTGCCCTCTCTGCTCCTGATTGTGGGGTCAGTGATGGATACAGCCGTGGGAGCCCCCCACCCTGCACAAGCCCTCCCCCATGTCTTTCCATGACTTCTGGGGTCCTGCTACCTCTCAGGCAAGCCTCTCCCAGCCCCTCACTGCCACCCCACTCCCTTACCCACCCTCTACCCACTAGTGGCTCCAGAGCCTCTTAAGCATACTGCCTGCTTAGGCATGAGCTGGGCTGGGGATCAGCTAGACCCATGTGATCCCAGCCCTCTGCCGCCTCTAGGCCCCTTCACTGGCCTCTCCCAGAGACCTTTCGTTTGGAAACACATTTTTCACCCCGCCCAGAGGAGGTGGGAGAGGTGGGATGAAGGCTGAATTAGGCTGGGCAGCCCCATCCCTATATGGGGGTCCCAACAGGAGAACAGATGCCTGAACTCTCCCAGAACAGACTTCAAACTCAGGACCACCTGTGGGAGGGGCCCCCACAAGAGGTAGCAGGGCCCCTGCCCATCCACCTGCTTTCCCCTCACCCACCTGCACTTCTGCCCCTGCTTGCCGCCTGCCTGGGAGGGGACCCGCTGGGCTGGGGGCTGCATGAGGCTTTGGGGGCTGGGGGAACAGCTCTGTTGGGGGCAGGTGGGGATGAGGTCTGTGTGGGGAAGAGGCCTGAGGGCTCCTATACACACTCCACCTACCAACCCCCACTTAGTGAAGCTTTTGGAGCCACTGACCTGGCTGTGGCTCAGCATTGACACCCAGTGGTCATGAGGATGCACTGCAGGCACTGCCTGGGAGTGACGGGGCTCAGCTGGCCCATCTAGACCAAAGCTCATACCCCTTATTCAGACAGGAAAAACTGAGGCCCAACTCCACAGAGTGAATTGTTGGCAGAGCTTGAACTGAAGCCCAGGCTTTTCAGCTCCCAGGACTGGGGGAGCCAGCTAACTTTCCCCAAGCGCCTCCTTGGTGGGTGCCAGGCCCCAGGCTGGGCACTGTGGACATAGATGTGATTTGGACACAGTCCCCATCCTCAGGGTGGTCACAGTGGGGTGGGGGGAAACAGACCATAACCAGCAGTGACAGGACAGGGGGAGCTCAGCTATGATTGTGGAGGGTAGATTTAGCATCTTCTTGGATAAGGAGACCCAGGCCGAAGCCTGGCAAAGGGTGTTCACGCAGAGGAGAAGAAACATCACATGCAAAGGCCCTGGGGCAAGAGTGGGCCCAGGGTGTTTGAGGAGCTGCAAATACTTTGAGTGACAGAGTGTGACAGGTAAGGAGTGAGACAGAAGTCATAGAGGCTTTTAGGACTTAAGAGGCCATGCTGAGGAATTAGAACTTTGTTCTATGGGCAGTGGGGAGTCATTGAAATATTTATAAGTAGGGAAGTGACATGGTCAGATTTTTGTTTGCAAAAGATCCCTCTGATTGCCATGTGGAGAAAGGATGGGAGAAGGGAGCAGAAAGAGAGACTAGACAGGAGGCTGTCCTGGTCACCCTGGCAAGAGGCTGTGGGGGCCGGAACTGGAAGGGGGACAGTGAAGAGGGACAGATGTCAATGGAGCTGAGAGACACGTGGGTGCTTGTCTGGCTATGGAGGGGGGAGCGAGAAGTTAAGGGAGATGTTTACAATAGTAAAAGAGAGAAGAGAGCCAGGAGAAGCTGGCCTGCTGAGTTTTCTCCATGGAGAACGGGGAATGTCTACATGACAGCCGAGTGGGGGTGTCCAACAGGCCCTGGACACTCAGGCCAGGATTGGAGAGCACTGGGACGTCATTGGTGCAAGCAGCAGGCCACCCACCCAGAATATTTTTTTGGCATTTTCCCCCATATTTTTACTTTGAAAACTTTCAAATATATAGAAAATTTGCTACAATGACTATCCTTGTACCCTTCTTCTAGACTGACCAATTATTAGTATTTTGCTGCCTTTGTTCTTTTGCTCTTTATATATCTATAGATCTTTTTTTTCTAATCCATTTGAAAGTAAGTTGCAGACCTCATCCACATCTCCCCTAACACATCAGCATGTGTCTTGAAAGAATATGGACATTCTCCCAAAGAGCCACAGTAACACTGTCACACCTGAGAAAGCTGACATTAATTCAGTGAAATGATGCCACTTAATATACAGCTTATATATAAATTTTACCCATTGTCCCCAATGCCTTTTGTAGCTAGTTTAAAAAAAAAAACAAGATCAATCAAGATTCATGTGTTGCATTTGGTTGTCACGTCTCTAGGTTCTTTTTTTTTTTTTTTTTTGCGGTACGCGGGCCTCTCACTGTTGTGGCCTCTCCCGTTGCGGAGCACAGGCTCCGGACGCGCAGACTCAGCAGCCATGGCTCACGGGCCCAGCCTCTCCACGGCATGTGGGATCTTCCCGGACCGGGGTACAAACCCGTGTCCCCTGCATTGGCAGGCGGACTCTCAATCACTGCGCCACCAGGGAAGCCCTCTAGGTTCTTTTCATGTAAAATAGGCCCCCTGCCCTTTTCTTCTTTCTCTTGATTTTGTCATTTTGTGACTGTCCCACTGTCTAGATTTGTCTGACTGTTCCCTCGTGATGAGATGCAGGTTAAATACCCTTGGCAGGTGCACTAACTGGGGATGTGGTGCCCTCTTACTGCATCTCATCAGGAGGCTTATGACATTAGCTTGTCCCATTGTCGATGCTGGCAGTGGCTTAATGTAATTTTTGAAGGTCATCCATGTTTAGATGGGTGTAATACTTGAAGAGAGATTACTTTAGTGTGACCCGGTGACCCCCAGGCCCAATGGCCAGTCAGTGGCCCCATCCATGTGATGTGGACAGGACAGCCAGATCATAAGGGACAGTCTCAGCATGGCCACAGTGGGCTCGCTCAGAACAGACATGTTGGGAGGACTCTTGATTGTTAGATGTTTTTGTGGGAACAGCTTCCTTGAAGGTAGTAATTGTACCAGGATGCATATTATACCTCATCCCTTCATTTAATCTGTACTAAGTGAAGCACTCTGAGAGACTCCCAGATGTGTCAGGGCGGGAATAGTTCTATTGCTATCCTGGTGCTCTGTCAGAATTAAGATATCTACATTCCAGAAATAGCTTTAGTCTGGACTCGGAAAGAGGAAGGAGTGAGGGAGTGTGGAGTTTTGGCAAGACCGTGGACCCTATGCTGGGGGAGGAAAGGACAGACAGACAGACACTGGGAAGAAGTGAAGGTGAGGGCCAGCTGGCGGTCCCTGGCCAGCACCGGCACCACTTGAGACAGGAGACCGCAGAGCGGGGAGGGGTCTGAGGGCCACTGCCGCATCCCCGGGCCTGGGTGCTGGAGACTCAGCTGAGAAGAGAGGGAGGGGCTGAGGGCTGGGCTCCGGGATGTGCAGCATATGGACCTGGAGTAGTCAGAGCCCAGGGAGGGATGGGCTCAAAAGGGCTGGGGCAGGGGCACCTGGGCCTGAACTTCAGCTTTGCCGGCATTTTAAGCCTGGCTTCCCAACAGCGATGCCACACAAACATTTTCTGATTTTACTCTTACATGTTCATTTGGACATGAGTGGGAAGGATATCGGTAAGTAGCCTGATCCCACCAGTGGAGTTAATTAGGGTGAGACAAATACAGTATTTAAGGCAAAATTGAGTCAGTTTAAAGAGTGTTAAGTAAAGAAGAGTACAAGTGGCCCAGGGATGTGGCAGGAATCATGCAGAAGATGTGAGACCAACTGGTTTCAGGCAACAGAGATGGAGGAGGGGCTGGGGCTCTGCGGCAACGTCTGGGCAGGCTCTGTGGCAGGCTCTGGGACAGCAGTGCCGCCCCTGCAGACTGGCCTCCGCCCGCCCTCAGTGCAGCAGGATTTGCAGGGGTGTGAGGGAAGAGCAGCCAGCTGGGTGGGATCCTACTGAGGAGGTTGCTTCTGCCTGCCTTGTCCCCCTCCCATCCTCTCCTGGTCTTGTCCCTGCTGTCCGTGGGCCCTGGGCTGTGGCAGGTGGTGTGGAGCTGCAGGTGCATGTCCAGGGTGGGGCATGGGCCTCCAACAAGCTTTGCAGGGCCCCCTCCCCTGCCCCCTTCACGGCTGCATCTGTCTCTTTCCTCCACAGGGGGAGGGGTTGCACCAACTACGCGAGGCTTTGAAGATTTTAGCTGAGAGGGTTTTAATCTTGGAAACAATGATTGGGCTCTATGGTGAGTAGAGACAGACAGACGGACAGACAGCCCAGCCCCCACCTGCCAGGCTTCCCCAGGCCCTCCAGGGTGGAGCTGCCTGGGTCCAGTCAAGAGGCTGGATAAGGTACCTGCCCTTCTCCAGGTGGGGACCTGAAAGGTCAAGACCACCCATCTCTCAACGACTGGTCCCTTGTCCACGGGTGAAGGGGGGGGCCCTAGAAACCCAGGCCCCCACCCCTGTGGTAAGACCTGGGGCTCCAGACATTGTGGGTAATGTGGTTTCCAGGCCTGCAGGGGAACCAGAGGTGACAGATTTCGAGTCTGAAAGGAATTATGGGCAATGGAGCCAAACTCCAGAACTGCAGGGGATTGTGGGTAACAGAGCCAGACTGTAACAGTGCAGGGGGTTGTGGGTAATAACGTCAGAGCCCAGGCCCCCAGGAGGATTATGGGTAATGAATCCAGACCCCAGTCAGGCCTCAGCTCAAGAGAAATTGTGGGGAACAGAGCCAGTCTGCAGGCCCACAGGACAACAGGTCATGGGGCTAGACTCCAGAAGTGCAGGGGACTGTGGGTGACAGAGCCAGGCTCAGGTCCCAGGGTACTCTGGGTAATGTACCACCCACCAGTTCTGACCCCAGAGGCTCTCACTGGGCAGGCCATCCTGGCCCCAGGGTCCCCCTTTAGTGGCCTGAGAGACCCTCCCCCAGGCATTCACCCACCAGTTCTCCACCCATCTGGTCACTTGAGGAGACAAGTGAGCCCCATCCCCACTTAGAAGGAGCAGCCAAGGTCCCAACAGAGACTCACGCCCAGGCTCCTGCCCGGAAGCCAGAAGGAACTGGCCCCGCCCCCCACCCTCGGTGCCCAGCCCAGCCCCTGGAGGCCGGACATGCACCGTCTGCTCTTCTCGATCTCCCATCAGGCTCCTAGCTTACAGAGCTTCCTGCAGCAGCAGGCTCAGCTGGAGCTCCTGGCCAGACGGGTCACCCTGCTGGAAGCCATCATCTGGCCAGGTAACGGCAGGGTGGGCAGGCAGGGGCAGCCCCTGCCAGGAAGGGCCTGGGAAGGGCCTGGGGACACAGAAGGCGCCTCCCAATACTGGATCCAGACTAGCAGACAGCCACTCTTCAGCCCTTCCATCCGGCCAGCAGACGGTGTCTGGCACAGAGGAGGTTCTGGTAACTAGTTCTTGTGTGAATGAGCACCTGCTTTGTGCCAGGTACCTCGCTGGCACAGGCTCCAACAGATAAGACAGACAGGGTCCTGCTCTCATGGAGCTTAGGGTGCTGGGGGGAAGCCCTGGAACTGGGCGTTAAACCTAGGGTGAGGAATACCACAGTGGAGTGAATACAGGTGGCCACCAAAGCCCACAAGTGCTCCTGATGCAGGCTGGGGGGTGGTAGAGGGCATCTCAGGAGGGCTTCCTGGAGGAGGAGGCATCTAAGTGGAGACCTGAAAGGCAAGGATCGGGGGCAAGTGAACAGGCAGAGGAACAGCATGGACAAAAGCCAGGAGACCAGAGAGAACCTAGAGGGACAGTTCCATGAGGTTGCTGAGGGTGGGAACAGAGGCTAGAAGATCTGGTAGGGCCCCATTTGAGAAGGTCCTCGAAGGTAGGTCAGGGAGGCATGGAAGGAGGTTAGACACCACCTGGCTGTCACAGTGGGCCTAAGGAGGTCTCTCCATGTTAAACTGGAGCCTGTGGCTGGCCCTGGAGAGAGTCATGGATCGGCCACCCCGTTCCTCACCTACCCGTGAAGAGGCCCCAGCCCTTCTCCCAGCTGCCCCATCTCTCAGCCCAGTCCTAGCACATCAGTGCACACAGCCTCAGACATAATGTCCAACCTCCCATCTATTTTACAGATGGGGAAATTGAGGCCCCCAGCAGGAAGGAGAGCCAAGGTTAGAGCCATTTGGCAAAACTGTAGGGCACTCCTTCATTTGGCAAAACTGTAGGGCACACCTACTGCAGGCTGGGTCTGAGGCAGATCTCAGGGTACCCGCCTTGGGGAGCTGCCCATTGGGTGGTGGGCAATCCTCAGCATCTATAGAGATGAGGGCCATGGGGTACAGGAGCACCAAAGGATGTGTGTGAGGAGAAGCCTTCCTGGAAGATGGGACCCTTGCGTTAGTCATGGAAGGTCCCTACGAGTGTGCCAGGAGGAAGTGGTGGGAGGGCAGCCCCCGTGGGGACAAAGGCCTAGAAGTGGAAAGGTGTGTGGGTTCTGCTTCCAAAGCTGCTCTCGCCATGCCACAGGGCTTCCCCAACTTGTGAAAACTCAGACCATCTCCCAGACCTCCTCCCCTCTCCCAGAGGAAGGACCAAGGACCAAATCCCAGGCGCTCAGCTCCTTGTCAGGTGTCCCCCGACTCCCCTCTCAGGAGGATTGGGAGGGGAGCCAGAAGGGACACATTGTGGCCTTGGATCTGTGCTCCGCCCCCCTCAGCTGGCTCTGTCTCCAGCAGCCCAGGGAGGAAGTGCCAGGCACCTGGCAGTGTGGCCAGGAGGAGGGGAGTAGAGGAGATGGAGCCTTCCCCATTGGCCCATCATACACAGCAGGTGCTAACAAAAGACCCAGAGGGGGCTCATGTTTAGATTATAATCAATAATGATGATAATAGTAACAGCTGTCACACATCCAGTCCACCTGGGCCGGGAAATTTACATCCATCATCTCCAGTCCTTGCAACAAGCTTTCTAGGTGGGCGACACTGTGCCCACTTCACAGATGAAGAAACACAGGTTCAGAGGGCTCGTGTGACTCCCCCGGGACATAGGGATAGTAGTGGTGAGGCCAGGGGTCCGCCCTAGGTCAGGCCTCTAAAGCGCCAGCTCTTTGGGCTCCATCGGCAAAGGTTCCCTGACCCCTCTGCTTTGCTAGGCACTGAGTGGGGCCCGGGGGAAACCAAAGCCCTGAATTTGATCATGTCAGAACAGCATCTCATGACTGATTCACAGTGACCAGACCTGCAGGAGCCCTGGGTCGAAAACACACCAACCTAGTGACCATAATAATCCAACATTTACTGTGAAAACCACTTTCCACTCTTGGTCACATTGAACACTCTGCAAGGGTGTGACAACAGGAGTGTCATCCCCACATTCCAGATGAGGCTTAAAGGTTCTGGGACTTGCCCAAGGCCACATAACCGGGACATGGTAGGGCCAGGACTTGGCCTGAGCTGATGTTGGAACCTGAGCTTTGCGCTACCCTCCTCCTATGCTCCCTGTTTTAGGGCATGAAATGTTCCTTGACTGTGACTGCAAATACCTGTCTGCCCCAAGGGCGCCAAATCTCAGCCCAGAGGTGCATGAGACCCAGGGTCAGAGTGCTAGACAGTTATGAGTATGAGGGTATAGCTCCCTCCCTGGCATTGCCTTCAGTGGGAAGCTGGTGCTCACCAGAGTCAGTGTCTCTCCTGTGAACAGTGTTTCGAAGGCTCAGCCAAGTCCTCCATCCTGGGGCCCTCCCCCTGGAAAAACAACCCATCCTTCCGAGCTGCCTAACCCCTCATTTAACTTTGAGAGGGACTGAGGTGATAGTTACGTAAGGCTTCCTGGAAGAGGTAGGTCCTGATCTGCGTTTTAAAGGTTGAGTAGTTTTCCAGGTGGGAAGAATGCCAATTATCCGGTTTTACTCTTGGGGGCCAGCTTATTTGCAGGTTGGGGCATATCTCACCATAGCTAAATCGAAACTAACTTCAGTAATTACTGGAGTTGGCCAGGGCCTCTGTATCTGGAACTGTCCCCCTGGTTTTAGAGATGAGACAACTGAGGCCCTGACAGAGGTCCAAAGCCACACAGTAGGTCAGTGGCAGAGCCTGGCCTTCCTAAACCCTTCCCCACTACAGGTGGCCTAACCTGAAAAGAGAGGAAGAGTGAGGCTGATGCCTGGCCTTAGTTTACCCAGCTCTGAAATGGGAATGATTCAGGGCACACCTCTGCTCCAAGATATGTTAACGAAAAAAAGAGCTATACTGTTTATGGAGCATCTACTACATGCTAGGCATTTCAGAAACATGGTGGGTTCATTGATCCCCACTTGACAGAGAAAATCAAATAGAGGCCCTGAGTGTTCTAGTTGGGTTAGGGGCTAATAACTCCTGGGGGGAGGGGCACTAACCAGCTTTGCAGACCCCCTTCTTTCCCACACCTCTGCCTCTCAGACTTGGGCAGAAAGCCCCACCCCCCACCCCCTCAGAGGGCCAAGGGAAGGTGGGCACCTCACACAGACGTCACTAACCCGGCCTCTTTCCTTCCCTCCCGCAGAACCAGAGGGGTCAGGGGCAGACCCTGCCGGCATGGGCACCCCCAGCCTCCTGCGGGGCAAGAGGGGAGGACACGCCACCAGCTACCGGATCGTGGCCCCCAAGAGCCAAAATGAGAGAGACTGAGTGTGGTGGTGGCCCCTTGGCGAGGGCCAGGCCAGGCTTCCCTTCCCAGCCTGGACTTGGCCAGCTGCCTCCAAGGTCCGCCATCCGTATTTATTAATATCCTCAGGGTCCCTTCTGCCACCTAGGCCTTTGGGGTGGGCATGTCTTGGTCCTGGCAGCCCGTGCGCATCTGCCTCCTATGAGGCTGAGCCGGGACTGGAGCCTGAGAGGGAGGTGTGGTCCAGGCAAGAGGTGAGGCTTTGCTCAGGGCCGTGGGCCTCAGTTTCCCTCTGTGAAATGGGGTGATGCAGGCCTGTGGGGAGGGGCGGCAGGTTTGGAGCTTCTGTCTTCTCATCAACCGCCCGGCCATCCAGGCCCCAAGCAACTGAGGGAGTTGGAAGCTGGGGCTCTGCCCGGCCCTCAGCACGCCCAGGGATGATGTGGGCGGGCAGTCTCACCTCCCCACTCCCCAGCCAAACCTGGGGGGCCCACCTGTACCCCTCGTCTCCTTGTTTTCTGGTGCTGGGCTCCTGGCCCTGAGGTCAAGCTACCTGATCTGACTGGACATTCAGGGCTCCTTGTCTCAGTTCTGACCCCTGAACCCTCAGTCCTTCTCATGTCCCAGGCGGAGGGGGCATGGAGAGGGAGGGGCCACCTGCTCCCACAACGGCTTGTGACAGACACCAGGAGGTAGATGTGTATCGGCCAATAAAGGCCCCCAGCCTCACTGCCCACCGGCCTGGTCTCAGTGTGTGCTTAGATGAGGGGCAGCCGGGCAGGGCCAGCAGCCTCTCTTCTCAGTGGCCTTCACTGTCCACCTGCAAAGCACGACTGTGAGGCCAGGGCTCCCCTGGCCATCACCTGGGCAGCTGGGGAATGGGGGTAGGTGAGCAGAACAGAGGATCAGGCCATCCCCACCCCCTGGCCAGGTGTCCCGCAGGAGCTACCAGACCTCAGGGCAGCTTCCCTTCTCTGAGCCTCTTTCCTCACCTGTAAAATGAGACTGATGGTGTAGTCCTCAGGTTTCCCAGTCTGTTTCTGGCCCCTGGCTGGTGACCAACGGCAGGGTCGGTCTCTGTGGCCCCTCCACTCTGGCCCTGGCCTGGGGTACAGCCTCACGGGTGACCAGAGCACAGGTCAATCCGGGGCCTACAGCCCCCTGTACTGCCCCTCAAAGTCCAGCTTCCCGGCCCCTCTGCCTTGCAGAGTTCCCATCGGTGACTCACACCGATGCCCCACCCTCTGTCCTCTAGGCTTTGGCTACACCTCCCCTCCCTGGGAGGGGGCAAAGACTGAGAGGGACCAGGAGGGAGGAGCTGCTTCTACAGAGCTGAGGAAGCTTCTCCCCCACAGCACGCCCACATTGCTTCCTGCCCCCGGCACCCCCCCCCCATCACCGCAGGGCCCAGCCACCGGCCTCAGAGCCTGCCCTGGGGCTCTGGCCCTTGTCGCACTGAACTGGCCCTTGTCCAGCAGGGACACAGGGGGCTGTGGGCAGTGAAGGGATGCTGTTCCTGGCGAATCAGGGAAGGCTTCCTGGAGGAAGGTCTCCGTGTAGGCCAAGACCTGAGGATGGGTAGAAATTAGCTGGGAAACAGATGATAAATGCTCCTTGGCAGAGGGTCCAGCCCAACAAAGACCCTGAGGCGGAAGCTCGGTAACACTGTGTCTCTGGACATCAGGGAGCTGCTCTCCTGCAGTCGGCTGTTCATTCACTGCTCGTTCATTCTTTCATTCATTCATTCATCCCCCTGATGCTAACGTAGAAGAGTCAGACACAACTGCTGCCTCCAAGGAGGTCCAGGTTGAAAAGTGAACTGGTTTTTATTCTAAACAGTACCAGGGCAGGATGCTGGGGGGCCGCCTCTGAACCCACCCTGACTCTCAGCAGACAGGGCTGGGCTCTGACTTCCCACCCACAGGCCAGGCTTCTCACCTGAGAGCCTGCCTGTGCTAGGGGGGCCCAGGACCCTCAGGGTGGGTGGGCCCACCCCTCCCCTGAGTCACCAGCGCCTCGGTGCCCACCTCCCCGCCGACCAGCAGTGACACGGCACCCTCCACACGGCCTGTGGCTGCCAGGGCCACCACCGCCTGCTCCGTGGGGAAGCCCATGCGCTCCAGTTGCTGCAGCCTATGGGAAGGGGGGACAGGGAGGGAGTGTCAGGGCCGCCTCCAGCCCCCACACCAGGGGACCCCACCCCTACTTACCCCACCTTACCGCAGGGAGGAGACGGAGGACTTAGACAGCCGGAGTGGGCTCTCGGGACCCTGGACTGGCCCCTCAAGGAGCGAGGCCTGGATCCCCTTCTGCAGCATCTGCTCGTCTAGGGCTGCCCACAGCGGGGTCCCTGGGGGGAAGCTGGGCCCAGACCAGGCCAGTCCCACCTCTGAGGAGCCCTCCCAGAGCGGTTGCATAGGCCCCAGGCCTGGCGGGAGCGGGGCTGAGCCTTCGCTGAGGGGCCAGAGGCTAGGGGAGGCCATGTAAGGAGGTCCAGGGGTGGGCGGCCTGGAGGGGCAGAAGCAGAAGGCCTGACTGCCAGCCACCGGCATGGCTTCCACCACCAGGGCCAGTGTCCTTGGCATCACCCTCACCTCACTCCGGCAGGATGGGTGACAGGCAGCTCAGCCAGGCTGCCTGGGGTGGGAAGGAGCTGGAGCGGCCAGCACCCCGCCAGGGCCCTGCACAGGACACCCTCCTGCAGTGCCTGCAGCCGCTGCTCAGAGATCTCCAGCCACCGGAAGGCCCCAGCCGCGTCTGTCTGCCCAGGGCAGGGCGGCGGGTCAAGGAAAACCACATTCAGCCAGGGGTGAGCCTGCGCCACATGCCAGGCCCCGTGCCAAGTGTGTGATGGGAATTCCCTCCTGTCTCCTCACTGTGGCCCTGCCAGGGAGGTGTCATCACCCTCGTCAGCAGTGGAGGCTCAGAGAGGGAAAAGGGCCCCTGCCTGAAGCTACCCAGCCAATGAGAGGCAGAGCCAGATGTGCCTCATCCCAAAACCTGTCTCATCCCCATTCAGCTGCCCCCTGCCCGCTGTCCCCTGAGGCCTGTTGCTGGCCTGCTCAGGCCTGTGACACCAGGCCCACCCCTGGGCCCTGCCCCAGCCAGGGCGACATGCTCCCCTCTCCAGGATTCAGCCGGGTGTCCCCAATCCTAAACGACTCCTGGGTCAGCCTGCACCCACTGTTCCCTCTGACTGCACTGTTGTCCCCGACAGGCATTAAGCACCTTTGGAGCAAAAGCCTGTTTAACACACCTGCACCACCGGCCGCAGGTCGTTCCCCCTTTTGATGCCAGGAGAGCCGCAGGCTCACGCTCACCCTGGTCCTTAACACTCTCTGTACTGTCTGCCAGGCCCGTGCTCTCCTTTTCCACTTCTCGTCACCTGAACCCCTCCTTCTGCATGGTCTCGGCGTAGACCCACCTCCACTGGGACGTCCAGATTAAGTGCCTCCTTGGGCCCCTCAGCTCCCAGGCTCTCCTTTAAATTGTAATTGGTACCTCTACATGGCCACAAGCCCCCAGTTCCCAGCCCAGAGCCAGGCGAGAGGAGGACTTGGAGACGCTCCTGGGATGTGTGTGAATGTGGGGGCCCGACCCCTTGTGCCAATTCCTTCCCAGGCACCCTGGGGGCCCAGCCACAGAATCCACACGTCCACATGAGCCCTGGGCCCAGGCAAAGGATACAGGCCAGGCCAGCCAGGAGGCCACAGAAGAGCTGCAGGAAGGGCGGCTCGGAGCTGAGCAGTGGTGTCAGGGCGAGCAGCAGCCACGGCAGGAGCCATGGTGGCAGTGCCCCACGGGGCCGTCTAGGGTTGTAACCCTGCCCCGCCAGCATGGCCAGGTGGACAGGCATGTATCCACAGCCCCCGGCTGCACTGGACACCCCGAGGCCTGCCAGCAGCACAGCCATCAGCCCGGAGGCCAGGGCAAGGAGGGTGGAGGCATGCAGGAACCGCAGTGTGCCCAGGTGGCACTCCTGCCGCCAGCCCAGGGTGGGCAGGAGCAGCAGGCTCAGCAGCAGCCCTGGGAGGGCCTTGTGGCCCAGGGCATGTGTCAGCAGCCGGTGCGCTGGGAGAGAGAATGGGCTTATGTGCCAGGTTAGTGGCCCTAACGCCCGATGGGGAAACACCCTCCGCCAGGGCCGCCCACTAAGCCAGCACCCCCTCCCCGGGAGCCAAAGTCTGCCCACTGCCAGTAGTTTAATCACTGGTGGTGGGGACCAAGGGCTTCCAAACACTGTGACCGGCCCCCTGCTGCTTTAAGTAGAACAAGCCAGACCCAACACTCAGGTCTTCTTAAGAACAACCAACCATGGATAAGTCACTTCACTTCTGTGAGCATCATTTGGGTTCCTCAAATGTAAATGGAAGCTGTCATTCTTGGGAAACAGGTGTTCAGCTGGGGTCACTCTTCAAACCCCTAGTACCTCCTTCCTGTGCTTGGGCTTAGCTGAAAGTCTTAGTTTATTTTAAGGGAAAGCCACCCAAAAGGGGAGCGGTCTGAAAAGAATTCCTACTTACAGGCTCCCACCCCTGTGCTGGCCCCTCTGCCCAGGTCCTTGGCCCTCCCTTCTTGGCTGTAGTTGAGCTGGGCATGCTCCCGTCCAAGGCTGACCTTCCCCGGGGCCCTGGGTCCTGTCCTTGCCTGACAACTGCAGGATGCATGCTGCTCTTGCCAACTGGTCTCAGGCCCTACAGCAAGTCTCCTGCCTCCTCCAAGGCCCACGTGGCCGGCCCTCACCCTGCCAAGGGTCCAGCAGCAGCTCTGGGGCCAGGACAAGGCTGGGGCCAGCTCCCAGCAGCCACAGGCCGCTCATGAGCAGCATCAGGACAGAGGAGGCGAGAGGCAGCGCCGGGGTCAGTAGGCCAGGGGGACCTCTGGCATGCATAGCTTGTCTGAAGGTGATCAAAGGTGGTCTTGGGGCTGTGTGCTAGGGGTAAAGGAAAACAATAACAAGTTATTATTGCAGCTTTTATCTGACTTCCTTTCGGCTACCATACCAACAGTACC